TCTGAAATCACGATAACTACTCACCAGAAGCCTGATATCTCACTAGTTGTGACTGTGTGTCGTGAGGGCTGAGGAGAGATGATCATCGAGCGAGAATCACTGCATCTTTAATTTTCACACATTCCACAATCCCAAAAACAGTCGATAAGACGAGAACATTACTAATTTTGCCATCGCATTGTTCATTGACGAGCACTTGACCTCATACATATTTCGCCTTGATCACCTATATCACCTACATTGCCTTGTGTAACCTTCAAGGCGGGTTCGTGAGAGTATCACAACAGCTAACCTCCTTTGCATTTCCTCATGATCAACAGTGAGGAATGAACGACATTCGTTCTTCAAATACCAGGATCAAAATGACTATGATAGGTTCGCACGAAGTGTTTATATCATAAGTTTGCCACGCCCAACATATGACATCGGCGACTTGGTCTGAGACTCCCCCGCATTTAACATCAGATAAATAGCTTATTTTCTCTCAATTTCTAACATATTTCTAACCAAATTCCCTTCTGAACCCTTATCTTCACATATATCCCAACTCTTGGTTACCAATACACAATCTACTATCTAACATGGTCAATACCACCCTTGATCAAAACCCGCTAGATCCCAATTACGAAAAGCGCCGCAGCTCTCTTGGAAATATGGAGCACTCACAACAAGCCCAGTCCTCCAAAAATAAGGACATCATGGTGGACAGAGAGGTTGCCCCGTGCGTTCAAACCACAATCCTGCATGCATGCATGCAAAGTGTCCTGTAACTGACCGCAAATGAAAACAGTTCTTCCCGCGCAATGTGCAACGAGCTTGCACACCAACATGCCACGGAAGATCTCCACAGGAGCACAGAGCGCCGCCGGTCTTCGCAGGATGTAGATCACCGTATGTCTTCGTTCCCGACCTATAACCCTAGGATCATACTTTTAGAGTCTATTATTTTGTACTAACGAGCATCAGATTCTTTCCTCTCTGATCTAAGTACCGACCGTGGATTCCAAGAACATCCCGAACAAATTGGGGAGTAATAGTGTGTATACTTTGCTGGACTCGGGACTGCACTGGAAGTTTCAGAACTTATATCGGAACTTGGAGTGATACCTTCATGAAGCGATGATTAGCTGTAAATTAGGGAACTGTTCAATTGATACTATACTTTGTGTGCTATATACATCGTAGATTGTGACAGCTTTAATTTCGTTGTGTGAGGCAAAAGCGCGTACTGGTGATGTCACCGTGATGTCCAACCCGCATACCAGCAATACCCAACGTTACTAAGCAATAGAAAAGCAATCCAACTTCTTTATATATCTTGGTATTTGTCTGGAAGTCATGAGCGCTATCAATCACTTCGCGAATCAAAAACCTTGTCCCCCCGATACCAAGTCTGGCAGACACGCGCCTCAAGCAACGTCTCCGGTATCCACTGCATATCAACAACCAAGAAATCTGCATATAATCCGCTCCGCAGACTTCCAGTCCAGGAATCGGCAAACCGCGCATAAGCCGCACCAGCCGTAGCAGCCGTAGCCGCCTCAGCCAGCCCCAACCTGAAATGTTCGTTTACAGTATCATCAGTCTCAGTCTCCAGCGCCGAGCGCCTAGTAGTAGCATTATAAAGATTGGGGAAAGGAAAGTGACGCGCAGTAGGGGCATCCGTGCCTATAGCAATAGGAGCACCCCCATCTAGGAAGTCCTTGTAGGCGAAAGCGCGCTTACACCGATCATGTCCCACAAGACCAGGCCACGCCTTGAAAAGCATAGGGTCGGAGTGTACAGGCTGGATCGAGGCCGTGATACCCAGCTCACCGAGCCGCCTCGCGTCTTCCGAGGTTGTCAGCTCCAGGTGTTCGATCCTATGTCTCCGACCTGGCGTGCCGATTCTTGACAGCACATTGATTGCTTGGTGGATCGCTTTATCGCCTATCGCATGGATTGCACATTGAATTCCCGCTGCGTCGGCGCGCTGCACCACTTCTTGTAGCATGTTCTCTGGCCAGATTGGCTCGACGGGATCGGATTTACCAGTGTAGGGTTGGAGGAGAGCGGCAGTGCATCCGTCAACAACGCCATCGCAGATGAGCTTTATTCCGAGGACATGGAAATCGGGCTCGCTGTACTGCCTGTTTAACTCGATTGCTCGATCCACGTATTTGAAGTTGGCATCTTGATCCGCTGAGAAGGGGACGAGCCAGTGTGCGCCGATGTGGAATGGGATGGTATGATTCCGACGGTAGAGATTCAGAATCTCCCAGGTTCCTTCGTCCATGGCCATGTCCACTAGTCCCGTATACCCGGCAGCGGTGTACGTAGCAACTGCAGTGTCCAATGCACTCAATTTGTCTTCCGTGGAAGTGACACTTTCTAGATGAGGCCATGCAAGGTTCAAAATAGCGGATTCGTCAAGTAAGCCGGACGCTCTTCCATTTTCATCGCGGTGGATGGTTCCACCGGGAAGATCGGGGGCTGAATGAGCCCCCATTTCATCGAGGGCAGCTGCGCTGCACCACATAGAGTGAAGGTCGAAGGAGTCGATAAAGATGGGACGTGGGTCGATACCATCCAGCATACTTGCTAGTGCGACTCCATTGGTAGTTGATTGGATCCAGCCTCTGCATAATATACGCGGCAGAGATGGATGAGCATCGGCGTAAGATTTGATGGCTTCACGGATTTGATCGAGGGAGGTGCATTCAATAAGATTGGCTTTGCGCAATGATTGGCCGTATTGAAGGATGTGTACATGGGCGTCAATGAAGCCTGGAATGACAGTGCGATTTTCCAGGTCAATGATAGTTGCATTTTCTGGGATGGTTATTCCATCGAGAGAGCCGACGTAGGAGATCTTGTCTTTCTCGATGATCATGCTCTCCGCAAAGTCCCCCTCTTTATTCGAGGCCTGCGATGGCAAGAAGATGCGCCCATTCTTGAAAACGGATGTCATGATCCCCAGGTTTTGCGGTTCTTCAACTCTCACAAAGAAGATCGCGGCAATTCTGAAGTATTTATTACTTCATGCGGGGAAGTCGGAATGTTTAGCTCTTACACCCGGAGTTCTCCAGGACTTTCCGTTTAAGAACATTAAGTGGATATAGTGAGACTCGGGCTGGGTTATCTCGATGGCGAATGGTCCAATATACCTTTTAATCTAGCCTGGAGGGGGTATTGATTGCATGGACCGGCCAATAAACTGCATGGTGATTGGATGAGAGGGAAAAGGTGTTCATGAGCGAGCGCGGAAAGGTCATGTGTCGTTTATGCTCACATTTTTCCATCAACCAGCCAATGGTCGAGTTAACTCGACTACATCTTCCTTGGTCTAGTGGTGATGATTTCCGCTTGTCATTAATACCGATAAGCGCGGGAGACCGGGGTTCGATTCCCCGAGGGAGAGATTTCTTTTTTGCTTTTATTAATATTTTTCACCTTCCTTTAAAATAGGTGGATATTGAATGAATGAGTCTGTTTGTCTTTTTTTCAGCGATTTGTCTTGCTCGAGTCTTCCATGTTGTCCAAATTGCTCTAATACGTCAATATTGGAGGGAATTGCAACAAAAACCCGATATGCACATATCAAGTGGGGCCCCCTGTATGGGCCTTAGTCTGAAGGTAAATGGCGGTACTCTTTGGCGTGGAACTCACTGGCTTTATGATCCTCTAAAGAAATCATGTTTGATGTGTCTCTCGGAATGGTATATACATGGTGTTCGATAGCTCACGCCCAATTTGGCTCTATAATACAGTCAGCACTGCCAGTGCGAGTGGATATATATATATGGTGCTCCACAGGTACATATGCAAGCGTGTGTAAAATATGATTAATCGGCGATGGTCATTGACCGTCATTCTAAATCAGACATGCTAGCCACTAGGCTTGAGTAGCTCAGTCCATTACGAATGCCGAGTAAGACATCTGGAGTACGTACCCATGGTGGCTATATAAACATTCCAAACACAGCCGGTGTCCATTGCAGCACTCAAACGGGCCCAACTTGATATGTCCCAACAGTACTGCCAATAGAGTGAATCACTTTCACTATAGTACACTATAGGTAATGTTGATCATTGGACTAACACAACCAACGTGCGCAGGTGGGCCACAGGGCTATGTTTGCCGTTTTGATACCTCGTGTTAATGACTCCCTACATATGGTGATCGGCAAGACATTTGTCTGGGCAGTGCATATGACCTTTCCGTGGGCGTAAAACGTTATAATTTGACAAGAATTTGATAATATGTTCAATGTAGTCTCATTGAACCCTCGGATTGTACCATCAACCCCACGCCCAAGACCAGGCGCGGATGACACCTTCCAAACACCAGTCAACCCCCATATACACAAAGGCACCAACGATTATTTCCAAGTAAATCTCGCTGGCCCCCAGAAACTGATGTCATATAAATATACAAGAGCCTCCGAACCCAATGATAAAGACGCGTGCAAAGAAGGTGTGCGTAATGCAATCTAGGGACTTGGCAAACGGATAGAACACCGAACCTTCCACCCACGCAGCCTCAAACGCTTGGAAAAGGTAAGACTACAATTTCTAAGAGTAGCAAAGGGGATGTCAGTTAGCCTCTGATAGCCTTTCCCTTTATTGTAGAGTGCGGCAATTCGTAGGAGCAGGAGCAGAGCGTGAAGTCAACCCTCAACATTCAAGATTGCAGGGTAAAGGATTCCACGAACGATCTCGGGGGCGCTTTTCCGTTTGATCGACAACTTTGGGGGCGAGACGCCGCGATTGGTCGTTAGTAGTGGAACCCGGAAACATAGCGCGATGGCTTCGGGCTGCACCGCTAGAGCCCCAGTACGCCCCATATAGTTTTAGTTCGCACAGCCTTCTAGGGTTTGTGATAGCGCGCTGGGGCGTATTTAAGCATAAAGCCCCCTAGGTACTGATTTTTTCCTTCCACATATTCAATTACCCCAGAAGTATCTCCATTTATCTTCCCCATCTTATACTACGAGTATATACTTCCTCCAACCGTCACCATGCAGTACAAGTCTCTCGCAACCCTCCTCTTTGCCAGCATGGCTATGGCCGCCCCAGCCGACACCAGCCTTGAACCTGAAACCGGGGACTCAGAATTGGGTTTCGATATGCCTCCCTCTATCGCCGTGGTTCTCGCAACCGCCGTCCCAACCTCATTCTGGGCCGAAGCCACCAACACCGCTGATTTCCTTTCCCAAGTTGAGCAAGGAATCGTCTCAAACTCCTGGCCAACTTGGTACAGCGGTCTTCCCGATAGCGTGAAGGAGTATGTTACCACTGCAGTTGAGGACTACTATCCTTCTTTCGCGTCGTCCATTGCTGCCCAGATCACCGGCTCTGGCGCGAGCAGCTCCAAGCCTAGCAGTGCCGAGGCCACCTCCACCGCCGCCTCCAGCTCTGGTGCTTCGTCTTCTGCTGACTCTACTTCTGCCGATTCTTCTTCTACTGTCACAGACTCATCGTCCTCTACTGCCACCGGATCGGACGCTGCTTCGTCCTCGGCTTCGGCTTCGGCGTCCGGCTCTGCTGCATCCAGCACTGCTGATGGTGGTGCCGCCCCTACCGGTATCGCTATGAGTCTTGCTGGTGCCGCTGGTGTCCTGGGTCTTGCTCTCGCCTTGTAAGAACGGTGAACATTCCATTTTTGAAGCATATACCGTGAATCCGGGGGCCTTTTTCCTATCTGTTGCACAAGTTCGTTACGGAATGAGATCTTTACTTATCCTGTTTCTAACCAATTATTGTGCCTTGATGTTGAGCCTATAACTTATGTACTTACTACTTAATTTTGTGAATACGAAAACATCGTCGCTTTTCGATACAATTTCATTGTACTTATCTTACAGTAACGGTTTCACATATAGAATATGTATTCTGTCAAGTATCTCCCACCCATTCCCATCCCCCATTATAAAGTTCAAGTTTCCTTCCCCCACCCTGCATCAAGCGCTGGGGTTCGATGTGTCATCTGCATAATAGACTCAGGTATCACCAGGAGGGCCTGGATCCCTCTTCTTTCCCTTATCGATACTATTACTTTGCTTTTTTGGAAAGGGGCTTCAGAGAATGAAAGCATCCTTGTGACGGACCGGAGTAGCTGGATTAGCTGGACTTTTGGCAGTGTTCCCAGGACCACTTGCTTCGGATTGGGTCTGTTTTGCCACATCCAAGCTTCCTGTGCCGCCGTCATTAATGCTGCCATCATTCATGTGAGCCGGGAAGTCAGGTTTGGCCGGATAATCTGCTGACCTGACCGGGCTGTCTGCCACTAACACCGGGGTCCAACCAGAGAAACCTTGCTTGCGACGGGGATGAGAATCAGACCGTCGGCTGTTGGAGCGATGACGTGCTGTTTCAGCTTGGAATTCCTCAGTAACCTGTGAGATTCCCTTGATGTCCTTCTTACTCTCACCTGATACCGTGGTGCTTTTATCAGGGTGAGGTGAGAGATCTGATGCAGGTGAGGTTAAGGTTTTGTCGATTGGGGCGGGTACGGGATTGTTGCGCGATTCTGTGTTTGATGATTCATATTAGCATTTATATAACCCACAAACCCAATAGGGATGACTGTAAACTCACGATCCATGATAACACTGACAGGGCTGACGTCTTGTATTCCTACCATTTCATCAACCTCTTGTTGTATCATGCGTTGTGGGTACCCCATTTTGATGAAGTGGTAATTCTCTGCAGATAACTCAACCAGCCTTTCCTTGACACGACAGTGGTACATCCCGTTTTCTTGGAGTTGAAATTGATTTGCCGGTGACGTATCTGAAAGTACATCCAGCCAAGTGACAATGGCATATTCGCGCCGGGACAGTTGGACACGGCCCTTGCATGCCCTCTTTCCAGCCACAAGTTTTGTATGTGATTCGATGCAATCAGGAGTGATCAAGCAAAAGGGTGGACGGCCGAAGAATTTGTTGAGTGCAGCTTCAAGCTCTGCATTAGAGCCCAAACTTAGAGACTTGCTTCCTCCAGGAACGGCCTTGACTGATTGGATTCTGTCATTGTCATTGGTTCCATCTTGTGTTTCCTGCAGTGCTTCAACTTTGCCAACAATACCATCACTGCAAGTCGACGCAGTGGGAATGAAATCGGAAATAGGCTTCATGATGATGAAAACTGTTCGTGAGATAAACCTAAATCGCCAATGGAGCACAGAACTGAGAGATTGGGATGGGTAAAAGGCTTTGGTCTGGAAAAATACGCGATGTAAGTGTGATGAGAAGAAAGTAGACGGAGTGCCAAGACGAAAATACTAGAGTCGATATCAATAGCGAGGTCCAATAGATGTATCGAAATGTTGACAATGGGGGCACATCAGGGGTTTATTCTAACCACGCCCTGGGCGGTCTCTATGGCGATTTCTATCTGCTTACACTGAACATACCATAATGGAAGACCTGTATGATAAGTTATGCTTGGATTGACTTTGCTAATAATATGAGCTTGCTAAGAATATGAAATCATTAAAGTCATGAAAGTCATGAAGGCCATGAAAGTCATGAAAGTGGTCGTAAGTCATAATCGGCCACTGGCTCCCAGATAGCACATTATGAACCCCAATCCTCACCAACCATCCCAACCAGTCCATTCTCTCAAATTCCCTCCCATCTCATAAATTCAGTATCCTCCTGAGCCCACCCGGCTCCAACCCCATAGGGTGAGCATGTGTGTCGATCATAGCAAGACTAGGTTGACTATAAGCAGTTGTTAGTAAAAATTCCTCAATAAGAGTGGAGTAATTGGGTGGGCTCCATACCATAGTCTTCTGCTTCTTTGCCTCTCGGAGTGGTTTCAACAACGCCCAAGTCCCTTTGATTTTGAACTTCTTGAAAATAGCACCAGCAGTCCGGGTAACCCCAAAAATATGGGCGTATTCCTCTTCAACTTCGGTGGTAGTGGATCCTTTGTCGACCAGAGACTTCACAAATTCTGGACCCTCTTCCTCTTCCAGTTGAGAGTATCTTCTACCGGGATGTGGCTTGCTCCATTCCTCGCTGTAATAGGACTCAGGTGGGGGTCTCTTTGAGCCACGAGAACCTTCTGCATGTTCGTTATCCGCAGCAGTACCAGTAGCGTGGGATGCGTCTTCGGTTTTGACCCTCCAAGGGATGTGGGACCCAGATGAGTAAGATGGAGCATTGTCGTCGTTTGCATTGTCGGGGTTGGTGATGTTCCGCAACCACGGATGGACCAACTGGGAAATAGTCTCGGAGGTGAGGCCAGACGATTCGGCATTTGCATTGACGTTGGAGATGGCATTTGCGCTGGTATTGGCATCCGTGTTCTCGACCGCATGGTTGTTCGTAGTGAAGGTGGTGTTGGTATCAACCAATCCGGCATCGTCATTCCTGTTGTTCATCCGATTGCCGGCCGCTTGCAATGAGTTGAATGCGATTAAGCCAGCATGGTCATTTCTGTCACGCGCCAAATCCAAGAAATTGTCTCGGTGAAGGTTGATTGACCGAGCATCATTGTTTAGATCGCTCCCCCAATCAGCGGAACCACGTCGAGAAATGTCAGTAGAGAAGTCATCATCATCCATGTCGTTTGGGTAGTCAGTGGAGTATCGTTGTATGATGTCGGTGGATGAGACGGCATAACCAGTGTCGCTGACCGAGCCAGTGGAATCACTGCCCAGAGTGTCAGTTGGTGGGAAATATTCATCGGAATCGCTGACTGAATCAATGAGACCCTGTTGCAAAAGGTCAGCTGGCAGGACAAAATCCTTCGTATCGGTGGCTGAATCAATGGATGGAAGAACGTCCGATGGGCCAGAATTGACCGGTTCTTCTTTGATACTAGGATTATTGCTTCCAGCTGGTTCGGTCTTGACAATTCCAGGAGGATAAAACAGCGCTGATGCTGATGCTTCCGGGTTGGAGTTGCCGTTATTGCCATTGTTGTCGTCTTCAGAGTTGGAAATGTAGATCACCTCTCGACCAGAAGTCTTAGGTGGAGCCGACAGTGGGGTAGGCGGTTGAACTTCATGTCCAGTGGGGCCGGAATTTGCAACATCAATAGATGGGGATCCATTTAAGGCTTCAATAGATGCTCGGATTGTGTTGGCAACTAGTGAGACGAAATGTTAGTTCGAAATCAAACGACTTATGAAAGCCAAACGACTCATAGACGTGGATGGACTTACATTGGACGAGGTTGTGGTGTGTCTGATGCAGGTTGGAACTCAGTTTAAGACGGACTCGAGTTTCCTTCTGTTCGTCCGACAAGTTTTGCAATGGCTGCAAAAGTCGTTCAGTGACGCCAGTGAGGATTTCAATGTAATTGGCCTCGGTGATCTCAATCAAGCTTCCTCGAACGCAGCACAGGTACATACCATTTGGTTGGCGTTGGAAGTCCCTAGGAGTGAGCATTTCACGAAGGACATCAGTCCATTCAATGGGATTCTGGGTATCGCCTCCAACCATGCGTGGGCGTGGCTGGCCAAAGATTCTAGCAGCTGTCTTTTCTACCTCAGAGCAGAAAATCGAGTCGTAGAATAGAGGGGCCAATGGGACTCCTTCGGTAATGATCTCTGCATACTGTTTGTATTTCCTGTAAACCTCACCAAGGTCATGCTGCAATTCAGGATATGGACTAATCGTCATGTTGGTTTCACCCGATGAGACACCTGAAGCCCCTCCTGGGTGCTGTCCCTGGGTAAGGGGACGGCGATCACCCATAGTTTACTCAGAATGCCGTAGGGCGTGAGTAGAATATGAGTTAATCAAGTTATTGCAAGAGTGCTCGAATCGCGAAGGGGGTAGAGACAGCTTCAGAGAAGTAGAAGTGACGGCGAGAACGAACGAGGATAAACGTGCAAGAAAAAAGGGGGCCATTCAAACGAATACGCCGTGCTTTACTGATGATATTGAGGTTAAAACCTTACTCTCACATTTACGTCGAACGTAACCTACCATCAAAAAATGAGTTATCCAATGAATGCAGGGAACGGTAGGAACCGACTTTTCCTTGGACTCGAAACGAACAAATGTAGTGGGCTGGGTTAATTCCAGAACAGGTGTTTAGTTTTACAATAAGCATTGCAACGTATCCAGCACTATGCAGTGACACCCACTTCTCAAAACTCCATCGCGATGGCTCCCAGAAACCCCCGACAGTGGTTAGCGGATTGTAATGTCATCTCCGACGGGGATAGACTAGCTGCAGACAACTGAAGTGATGAAGTGCCGCGGATAGGGGCTAGGGTGTGGTACCGTGGGTGGGTAGGGTTGCGGGACATCACACGAAGATCTAACTACACACAGCAACCACCGACGATAACAGCGCGACAACCCGTCAACACCCAGACCAAACCGATTTCCAAACCGGCCGACACCAGAATACTGATACCGGCACAAACGCGCTGCCGAAAGCGGGAACCAGGGTAGGCTTCCTGGTCTTCTTGTTCTCGCTCCGATAAGACAATGTCTCGGCAACTAGGGCACCCGGTCTACAACATACAATCTTGCTGTCTCGTGTTTGCGTTTGTGCTTGTACATGCTCGTCGTTTGGATTTACTATATACCCTAGAGTTCTAGCCGGGGGCGGCTGCGATGGCTACACAAGATCATCTCTTCCCCAGAGCTATAATTGTAACATCTTTAAGTAATCTTTCATTTAGTTGTCCATGAGTTTAATCCCGTAGGCAATTACATAAAGAGAGCACATCTAAGGCGGTGCAAGTATTAGACAATGTCCATGGATCACTACGTAAGAATGGAGAGAAAGACTGTTTATGGGTATGGTTCCCAGCGGAGCGGAAGGGAAGGCGGAGACAGGAGAGAACCAGCTTGATGGTTCCGACGCTATGGGAGCCCTTACCTCCATGTCTCCCACCGCCCACCTACGCATATGGTCTGAATACCTAGGTGCTTTCCTTCACCTTGTCGTCACTCAAGAGACCCTGGCTTCTCATGAAAAAGTGCGAAACGTCGTCTTTGTCTCCGAAAATCTTCAGTCGGATTAGCTCCTACCTCCCACGGGATAAGCTGACCGGGTGCGCGAGCATTTGCAAATATTAGAATGCAGTCATCGAGAGGAAGGCATATGTGGGCCTAGGTAGGAGATAACCCTACGACAATACCACTCTGCTGGATGGTCAAGGTGGCATCGGGTGGCTAGTTAGTAGACTTCAGCACCGGCCCACAAAGCCCAAAGCCCAACCCAACCCAACCCAACCCATAAATTGGCCGGGTTTTGGGTCCGGTCCTCGGGCCCATCGATGGGCTATAGGCCTATAGTAAAAGCCTAGTGGGTTGGGCTATAGGCCCGAGGTTCGGGCCCATTTGTGGGCTCTGCGGAAGTCTACTAGTTAGGTCGCTCACTCGGATGAATTTCTCTACCTTTTGAGTAATAACAAAAGAATACACCAATGGTGAATGCTCTCAAATGGTAGGAATGGTATTATTAGAAGGTATGTAGGTGCCAGATGAAGTGGGTGGTATGAAGATAGGTGTTTGACCAGCTGCACTTGAAATATGCAGAGAAAAACAAAAGAGAAAACTTCCCGCTGAAGGAAACTTCCTCTCTGAGAACATCAATTAATCAAATGCCTATAATCATATCAAAAAAATAAAACATACTGTGAGAAACAGCTTAGGCATTGAAAATGTGTTTAAGGTTATATTAGTTGTGAAATTATCTGCAATAACTGACATCCAGGCCCGCCTATCCGTACAGGTTCGGAAGGCCACTCTTAATCGGTGATGCAGCCGATTGGGAGGACCGGTGTAGATCGTACGCGATGGATGAACCCCGAGGCTGCTGGGATGGCCGGTATAAGGGGTATGGAGATACATAGGACGGCGCGGCGGCATAATCGGGGTCGGGAATAATCGCTGCTGACATTTCTTCGCTGGTTGGGAACGACCGAATCGGCTAGGAGGGATTGTCATTCATGAAGGCCACATGAAGATGTAACGGGAGTTGTACTTTCAATACCACGATTTTGCTTGGGCGCTCTGCTTTAGCGGCCCTTCCATCCAGTCTGTCGATCCAAAGTTTCAGTGTGAGCCAGCGGTGGAAGACACCGAACTTTTCAACGTAGGCCTTCTCAACATCGCCGGGCAGCTTTCCTGCGTCTACCTGGCTCTTGAACCAGGCTGGAGCATGCTCCTTCTCGTAGTCAGTGAAGTTGTTTCGTGTTCGCTTTTGTCCTTTGCGTCGCTTTCCTGCAGAGGAAAATTTGGGTTGTGGTTTATTGGGCGTATCGACCTTTTCGTTCCACATTGGCAGCTCTTCGCTGAGGTCAATGGTCTCGATTTCTGTTGGTGATGAGGTAGTCTCGGTCTTTTGCTTTTTTGGAGGCGGTCGCATCAGGTCCTCGTTGCCATGGAGCTGGTGTTTCGATGACACATCTCCTTGGAACTGCTTAGACGTCTGTGTATCATCCAGGCGTTGTGTGACCTCGGGCTTTCTGTTGCTGAGAAGTCCAGACACCGACACTCCCGTTTCATTATCATATGCCTTCTGGTTGCTTTCGGCGATGAGTTTCCAATGCTCTTGTTGGGTTGAGTCCTCATCAACCGTGTCATCGCCATCATCCTCAGTGTGATAACATATCGGCCGTGAAGTATCGCCGGGGGCAGTGAAAGGGATGTCGGATCCGCTTGAGACATCAGAGCTTTCCGACAAACTGCGTGTACGCGTATCATGCGTCTCAACAGATACCGTGGGATGACGTGACTCGTTTGGGGTAGGATACTGTGATCCGGGGGTCTGCGGCGTACGAGACCTTTTCAATGGGCCTCGAATACCTTGAAGCTTGCTTCGGCGTTTCTTCAGTGACAACTGAAGTCGCTTCAGTTTCTCCACATCTGTTTTCATTAGTATGTCTCTTGCGACCTGCCTGTGTAAGAAAGTCTGGGAAGTACGGACATTTGATATTCTTGTCAAGTTCTTCCAAGACATCTGCCTCTATGGCCAGAGTGATTTCCGACTCTCTGTCAGCATCGGCGGGACTTGGCCACAGGTAGGAGTTTGCCGGGAGGAAGCATCGGTTGAGCAAGATACTTTTGTGTAGGGACTCATCAATCTGAACGCGATTTCCTTGATCATAACAGTAGTAGGAGCCATCACTTTGCTTTTCAAAACTGCCGTGTCGGAAAATGTTGACCCAGCTGATTGAGGGACCATTCTCGACGTGAGATGAACACGGAGGACGAATACCCAATGTTTCCCTTAGCCGTGACTCGATTGTATAACTCTCGAGTGGCTCGTCTGAGAAGTACTGAGTGAAAGTCTCATCGTTGTCAAGGACGGCCTGATAGGACTGCATTAACACGAGACCATGCTGTGGTAGGGACTCGAATTTCTGAAGCTGGGACCGGACGTCCTCTCGATATGTGCCCCATTTGATCGGATGGTTGGGACCACCCTCCATTTTCAGGCAGTATTCTGTGGATAACGTTAGTCCTTATTAAACCGTAGAGTTGGTTATCCGCGTCTCACCTAACGCAAAGTAAAAATCGTCACTTGTGCAGGCCTCTGCGTATTGAAACGCGAATTGAAATGTGAATAGTTAAAATCTCGAAAGACGAGTAGAGTGATGAGCAAACACTAGGAATTATTTTCCCTAGACCTTTTCAAACCCCCCTGGTCGCAGAATATGCTCAGGTGCCCGTAAATTGTGAAGGCAGTCGCCACTGGCGTAACAAATACCAGTAATGAAATCATGTAATTTTCAATCACGCACACTATGTATGTACATAAGGTGTTCAAGCCCAAATGAATTTATATGGAATGAAGATGGCTTCTAATAGCCTAGATATTATAAGAAATTGAATAATAGTCCTCTTAATTGAGGGAAAAATCTGCGACACACTTTTCCGGCCGCGGACGCTTATTAGTTGACCTATTAATTGAGACCAGCAAGCGAGGCCCACATGATTGTTGGCGAACGAGGCGCTTAAAGTCCGCTGTAGTCTGCCGCTCAATCCCACTTGAACCTGGTATTTTCTAAGGAGTCTCGACCTCAAAATGTATTATAAAAGGCACCAGCGGTCATGAATAATAGCTTTAACTTTGCCATGCTGCATATAAGACCTGATTACTCGCCGAAATGATCCTATCCAACAATTGTGCCTTCACCGCTATCTATTCATTTTTCAATTAATCTTGTTGTTTTATTCTGAGCAATATGATTGGTCAATATAGATGAATTTTTTTCGACTCGAAAGAGAGGGAAGTCAGGGAAATTTACCGCAAACAGATAACAAAAATGGTTCAAACAATATAACTTTCTTAAATATCATTGTTACTGAAAGCATCACCTTTGTTTTTGACTGCAGTTTTTTTTCGCACTGCCCCTACGGCGCATCGAAGTGGTTCCTAATTTAAATACAGTTTCCACGTACCTTATATGTACTGGTAGTAGCAGCCTTCAAATTTACCGTATTAATGACATATTAATTACATAATTCACACTTTAATTTACACTATAAATGCTGATGATAGGGGCCTGACTGGCATGGTTGGAAATTGTTGCGAATGTCTTTTTTTCATACAATTGTATACACAGTGTACTTGTATTTTTCATCTCTTCAAAAATTCCAAGGATGAAAATAACACTAAAAATGGGTGGGATGGGACAGGTCGCTTTTCCCATTAGATACACGACAGGGGATGATGTGGTTACCCGAAGCCCTGCTAGACGAGACATGTGCCGTCAATAGTATATTAATTGGCGGCCTGGAGATTGTCACAAATTATATATCAAATAATTATGTAGGTGGCGATCAAGGTTAGACTATAATTTTACCATCTCCTATAAAAGAGCCCCCATATAAGTTCCCCTATATAAATGCTACCGAAAAAGTGGGGCCATAACACATTGTCACGTGACTATCAAAATCAATCGAGGCGAAAAGCCTCAAACCCGTCTAAGTACGCCAAACAGACTTCAGGCGACGCTTGCCAAAATCAAAATGTGGATCAACTGCGGAAAACTATCCGAATTCACGCAAGCGCGATATGTGGTCCGTTTGACCACAGGCAAGAAAGTCGTCTTGTTCCGGCTACCGACGATCGACAAATCAAATTTGAAATCAAACGAGACCAATGATGGCTGGTCTTACTACGCCATGGAGGCAGAATGCCCACATGCCGGCGGCCCAATGGCCGACTCCTCAGTGGACATCGAGGACTCGGCGTATGTTGTGTCGTGCCCGTGGCACGCATACGATTTCAATGTAGAGACTGGCGAATCGAGCGTCGGTATCAAGGCTTGCACGTTCCCTGTTGATGTGCGCGGCGAGTTCGTTGCGATGGATTTCCCAGTTGAGGATGGGGTCAGTGTTGGGCTTGATAGTGTCGACCCTGTTAGTGAGAAAGTGAAGCTCAAGCACTCGCGACCTGCGGATAAGGCTGTTGCTGATATCACTACTGCTCTTGCTTCTGTTTCTGTCTCTGCTTCTGCGAGTCCAGAGGACCCCGGAATGGCGACTTATCTCGGCGACGATGCGACACTGTGTGACTGGGCCGCCCACGTTCTCAATACCGCTAACCCAGAGCACAAGATCGAATTGACTACGCATCTTTTCTCTATTTTCACTGCTAGGGAGGCATCCGATTCACCCATGCCACTAGGCAGGGGCACTGTCGCACCGCCTGACCAGCCACCGCGCGAGAAAATGGAAACCGTTAACCCGGGCCAGATGCCGAAGGCAGGACGAGGCGGGACCTTGAAGAGCCGCATTGCTATGCTCCATGCGCTAGCCAATATCGAACTGTGGGCCATCGACCTGGCTATTGATATCTGCATCCGCTTTGCGACGTTCCAAACAGAAGGGACATCCCAGGAACTTCCACGCACATTCTTCTACGACTGGTTGAAGGTCGCGAACGACGAGGCTAAGCACTTCTCCCTCCTCCGCACCAGACTCGAGGAGATGGGAGCTGCATTTGGTTCACTCCCGGTACACCACAGTCTGTGGCTATCGGCGACCGAAACTGCGTACGACCTTCGTGCGAGAATCAGTATTATTGCCCTGGTGCATGAAGCGCGAGGTCTGGATGTCAACCCCATGACGATTGAGAAGTTCCGCAAAGCTGGTGATGGTGAGAGCGTGGAGGTACTGGAGGTCATTCACAACGACGAAATCACACATGTTACTACCGGTCATCGGTGGTTGACGTGGATCTGTGCACAGGAGGGGACTGATCCTGTTCATGTCTTCCGATCGAATGTGCAGAAACATTTCAAGGGTCCGATCCGGGGTCCATTCAATGAAGAAGCGCGGTTACAGGCTGGAATGGACAAGCGCTATTATGAGAGTACTCCCAGCGCCGGAATTGTGGCTTCATGACCGGGCGCGAGGATGAAAAAGGGAAACGCTTTACGTTGAAACATGATGTCACACGGTTGATCGGCTCTACGATCTTTTCTCCTGCTAGTGTGTTTTTTTGATATCCCCTTCTTGAACTAGCAGAATGTACATAGCAAGAAAGCAAGCAATTCATATTCATTTTTCGCTGAAACCGCAGCATTAACTAGTAAACATTAGGTCCTTCTGACCGTCATTAAATGCCATTAAAGGGGACCAAATCACCCAAAGCGACCGTGGGAAATATCTATTTGATGTATTCGGCCTTCAGCTGAACCTTGGAGCAGGAGGAGGGAATGGTGGCTTCGTAGAAACGGTTGAGGTAGAACAGCTGGGGCGCATTGTGGAACCAATCACAAACTGTTTTGGAGATGTTAATGTCATGGTCTTAAAAATGAGGGCAAAAGAACAAAGACGGAGTTTCTTACCGAGCCAGCCACCGAAACCGTTTTGTTCCGACCATTGGAAGTTGTTGCCCTTGATGGAGTATCCTTCGCTGCCCTCGCTGCCAGCGTTGATCACAATAGGTTCCCAAGCTAGAATGAAGAAAAATATGAGTCAGTTCATACTGAAATGTGACGGAGACTTTTTCCAAGGTATGTGGCGATACTCACAGGCATAGTTGGTGTCGCCAGTGGCGATCATTCCCCAAGGGAATTCCGTCTTCAAATCGAAGAGTGCGTTTGTTCCATTCAGATAGATGGAACTGGCTGTGCCAACATCTTCAGTGAGCACTGCATCGTTGAGACCTGCGCCCGTGTGGTAGGCGTAGACATATAGGTTGTTGTGATTCGCATTGGTGGCGCCGGTAGACTTAAGGTGGAAGTGCTTTGACTCCTTGGCAGTATCGACAGGAGCTGCAATGACGGAGGTAGCCAGCAAGAGAAGGGATGTGAGGAAGTTCATCTTGAAGTTTGATTTTGATGTGATAGGTTTGATGTGAGATGAAGGGTTTGAATGTTGGAAGTCGGGAGGTTGGAGGTTGGAGGCTGGGGGTTTGTTCTGAGTTCAAGGTTGAATGGAGAAAAATTAGAGGGAAACTAACAATATTTATATGCACGGGTCCTTTTCGAGGGGATTTCTAGTTGTGGAGATGCACATCCTATAACATACCTTCATAAGAGATTTTCTGATTACTTTACTCTTTTAAGGAATTAATAACTCCATTTCTGTATAGCCCCTCCAGTCGGAGGTTTACATTGTGAATGACCCCGGGAAAGAAACATTCAAGACATGGTTAACCCCATCAATATCTGATATTGCACTGATCGCTGAAGGTCATGATGTCAAGAGACCTACTAAAACTGGGTCTGAACCAGTGATGTGCCGAGGGTGGCGAAAATCTTACTACATCTAGACTTAGTGTCGGGGGTTGCGATGAACTACTAAGAACTAGAGAATTGGCGGCGGGGATGTGAGACATTTTTCTATTTATCTTCGGCTTTGGGCATCTATGAAAATTAGGATGTTCGTCATCTTCAAATTTCAACTGTAACATCGCTTCTTGAGGCTGAGACATCTTTTTCGAAGTCCATTTGGTAAAAACTGTTAGTGAGAAGTGGTCTAAGCAAGAGAACAGGCTATTTACAACATATCATATGATCGTAAAAGATTGTAGGCTGAGACAAAGAGGGGATTTACTGTAGACTTCTGATAGCTTCGAATTGATTGGAGTTCGAGACGTTCTCTAGTCCGCAAGTTGCCTTCATAGAACGCCCTACGATGTAAGGGTACAATCTCACTGCATATCTCAACCTGTTTCAAGGTTGCTTCTGTAAATCCCAATCTCATAGTATCAGATTATAAGTAATATCGACAACTATTTAAAGGTTAATAAACTAGTTCCACAATACCAAGGCCATGGTGTCATAGCTTATTTTGAGACAAGCTGAAGATAGCTAACTACATGAATGTGTTGGCTCTTATATTGCCCTATCGGCAAGTAGCTCTGTTTTAAACCAATTGAAGCTTGTGCCTTGTTAAAATATATATTGTCTCTTATCGACAGGTGAGGCTATCATGGTTTGTTGGGGTCTGATATTTAGCCCCTATACTGGGGTCAACTCCACGGGAGATCGCGATGTGCAGTTACAACCAAGGTCTGTTCTATAGCCAAGAAGCCCGGCCTTGTTAGAACTACTAGTATAACGTCATTAATCTGTTTGAAGCTGCACATGTTGTGCGACTGTGTAATGGTCAGGTTAATTGCATCGGATAGATCACAATTAACTCTCCTACTAGCATTCTAAAACAAGATTATGCAGATATGCTTGTGGACCTACGGAGTACAATATAGAAAAATAATGAAAAGTCTTATTCCAGAGATCCCATACCCAAAGTTTGATCATCTTACTCAAATCCAAACAGCTGTTGACCCGTTCAAAGTCATGTCGCGTCTCTAGCTCAGACAAATCAATTCTACTTATTTATGTAACAATTCCACCCACATCGATGCCTCTACTCCCACAGAGCATTCTTGACGTAACCTTATTCATGGCACTTTCGTCCAGTGAAGCTGACGCTCCGTTCACCCAGAAGTTATGAAGCAATCATAGCTTCCAAGGTTACTTCGTAGAATGATGGACAATACTTCCATAAGAGAATTAATAAAGCTCTACAAGAAGGCGCTCTCAGCAACGTACAAGTTACTCCATACTCCATACTAACACAATTACAAGAACCAAATCACAAACAGAACGTGCCGCCCCACCAAAACAAACCAAGACGTCCCTAAAGTTTCACCCGCGCACATCTGCTTGGCGCAGAGGCTGGGATAAGCCCCCGACATCGGCCACAGGCCATATCTCTACCACCATGGTTTGCTTTGGCCTTAAGGTAATATGGGATGTCCAACCATGTTTTTGAAACTCGTGGCGTTGCTCTTGCTGACCTGCGAGTCGCTGGCTGATATCCCTCCACTGTATCGATCGCGACCATATGACCTTGGAGCGTTCGATCGATGGCCTCACCAGCTGTATCACTCCTCTAATACTGTTGGACCTATCCTAAACGTTCATAAGGAAAATGCGCAGTGTTACAATGAGAGTATTTACACCGTTGTGCCCTACTGGGGAAAACAGGTGAACATCCCGGGAGTGATGCTCCTTGATGCAAAAGGGTATCTCGCCTGGTATACGACCGGGTATGTCACAGCAGACATACAATCTTTTCGAGGAGAGGACTACATTGTCTCACTATCTGAAGACTCAAGTTATTATGCATTGGTACGTTTCCGATCGGCAGCATCGCATTGGGAAAGGTTCTAATGTTCTCCAGATAAACTCCCGATACGAGGAAGTGTACCAAATCCGTTCAGGGAACGGCTGGCAGCTTGATGCGCATGAGTTAACTCTGAGTCTCTCAGGGACGGCACTTCTGGTTATCAATGGTGTCTTCGCGGTAAACCAAATGACGTTTGAAGCACCACTAGGAGTCGATTTCATTCTGGATGCAGGGTTCCAGGAGATCGAAGTCAAGACAGGAGAGGTATTATTTGAATGGCGAGCTTCAGATCATTATAGCTTTGAGGAGTACTATCATTTCCAGCCCGGCGATGGCAAAACCGAGAAAACTGCCCCAGATTTATTCCATGTCAACAGCATTGAGAAGGACGATATCGGCAATTACCTCATCTCCTGTCGAATGATGAGCTCCATTGTCTACGTGGATGGTCAAACAGGCGCTGTAATCTGGAAGCTAGGAGGGAAAGCAAACATGTTCAAAGACCTATCCGGCGGGGCCGCAACAGACTTCAATGGTCAGCACCATGCCCGGTTCCACGAAAATGGGAGGATTGTTTCCATTTTCGACAATGGGAACTGCCCTGGTCGTCCTGTGACAGGTCCAACCCGTGGTTTAGCACTCGTTCTGGACACAGAGAATATGACTGTGCAGTTGCAGCATGAATACATCAGCCCGAACAGTGTTCTCACCGACAACAGTGGATCGATGCAGATATTGGATAGCGGCAATGTGGTTCTAGGCTTTGGCCCGAACGCAAACTGGGCTGAATATGCCTCGAACGGATCTCTGCTCTGCAATGTTCATCTGGGTCCCGAGACATTCTTCAACAGTGGGGAAATTCGTACCTACCGGATCTCGAAGAGTCCCTGGGTTGGTCATCCGCAGAGCACGCCTGAGATTGCTGTGGATGATGGGCGAGTGTATGTTAGTTGGAATGGAGCCACGGAAGTGTCTATGTGGTCTTTGAACGGAACCGATATTGACGGTGTCGGGGGAGAATCGGTCTTCTTGGGGACATTTCCGAAGGACGGCTTTGAGACTGAGATATCTGTTCCTGCCAACTCGACTGGTCGGTACTTTTTTGTCAGTGCCCTAGATGGAGCCGGTCAAGTTCTCGGGTCAACCTCTGCAGTGCAGTGGCCTTCTAGGCCTAGACATAGTATTGTACACCAGGGGCTTTGAAGTCCTGTATAGAAAAAGGATTGAAGGAAGTCACCGCTCTTCGTCAACAATGTTACTGTCTTGGCAACTCTTGGCTATTGAGGCCAGATGTCCCTTTGTTTGTCTTCTGTTTTATCTTCTATCCTTATAGTCCATGTCGTGTCCTTGATACCAAAATGACAGATTCGATTGATGAAATATTCATATTCTCCAAAAGCACAACGCTTCTTCGCATCCATTTATCATGTTTTACATATCCAACTAGCTTTAGAACGTCAGTATGTTATGGGCCCACTGCTTATTTTCTTAGTGACGATCTTCCGTCAGGGGCCTTAGGAAATGTACATTATTGTAATCAGCCTATTCACTAAAATTTGAGCATATTTCTATAAACCCATCTCTATATTTCTACACACATTAAGCAATTGTACAAAAGGGATTTTCACCACAGTGTTAAGTTGGGAACTTCAGGGGAAATGTTTCCCGCAGAGCCCCTGAACCAGTTTGAAATTCTATACGAAGTACGGAGTCATAATTTCTTGTCAGCGAGACCTTCAACTACTCTCGGATGACAACGGATAGTTTGAACTGTAATTAAAAATACTAGAACAAGTGTTGTTAACATTCAAAATGTTGTTTTGACACTTCACATAACTCGACGATTCCAGGACCCACAGTTGAGCTCCCGAAATCTCTTCGCGCCCCTGACGCGTTGTCTTATTAGGAGACCTTGTCCAGGGTATTTGCTAGGCATCTATTATCTTTATAAGCTCGGAAATCCCAGAAATCATCTTAGAAGCTCTTTATAATCAGCAATCAGCTCCTTGGACACGGGTTAGTGCGCGCCCGTTGGATTCCATTTGACAGGATTAACAAGACTAGCCTCTGCCGTACTAAGGCATCATGGATCCCTCTACATACACAGATCCCGAACTCACCTACCAAGATCGACTGGTGATTGATGCTATCGTTGAGCCTCAGCTCAGCTCAAATGGTAATACACCTGCATTGTCGATCAAAAAAACAAAACTAACAAACATGCAGGCAAAACTGCACAGCCATTGGACAAGCTGAGCACCAAAGAAACAGTCCAAAAGCTTCACAATCTCAATGATCCTTCTCATGTAGAATTTGATCCCACCATCTCCCAATTCTGGGATACCCCGCTGCTGCGGGCCAAGCTACCCGCGCCCATCCAGAAGTACCTGTTCACGCCATACATCAACTGGGCCAAGGGCATCGTGCGATACCAGACCGACGTGGTCATGGTAACGCATCTTATACTCTACTTCACCACTATTGTCCCAAGTGCTGCATTCCTATATTACCGATTCTCTTACCTCCACGGTGCCCTGCACTGGCTCATGTCAGGGTTTTATTGCGGTGCTTTCACGCTGATGAAGCACCAGCACATCCACCAAAATGGAGTCCTGAACTCATCATTATATCTGTTTGACATGCTTTTCCCATACCTGCTGGACCCAATGCATGGACATACATGGAACTCTTACTTCTATCACCACATCAAGCACCACCACGTCGAGGGTAATGGTGGGGACGATCTGAGCACAACAATGTACTACGACCGCGACAGCATCCCCGACTTCTTGACCTATGTGGGCCGCTTCTTCTTTTTCATCTGGATGGAACTCCCAATGTACTTCTGGAGGAAGGGGCAGTTCAAGTATGCAGTCAAATGCGCTTTCTGGGAGGTCGGTAACTACGTTGCCATCTATATGCTCTACAACTATGTCAACGCTCGTGCTACCATGTTCGTGTTTATTCTCCCGCTCACCGTCATGCGTGTGGGCTTGATGGTCGGTAACTGGGGCCAGCATGCTTTGGTGGATCCAGCCGACCCCGATTCGGATTATCTGTCCAGTATCACACTGATTGATGTTCCGGTGAGTTCCCATCAGCCCGCTTAACATGTCGAACTGAGACTGACAAATACCAGAGTAACCGATTCTCTTTCAATGACGGCTACCACACTTCTCACCACCTGAACCCCCGCCGCCACTGGAGAGATCACCCTGTCGCTTTCCTCAAGCAAAAGGATACCTATGCCAAGGAAAATGCTCTGGTCTTCCGAAACGTCGATTATATTTTCATTACTGTGAACCTACTTCGGAAGAACTACGAATACCTGGCTAAGTGTCTGATCCCCATCGGTGATCAAGTCAACTGGACCATGGAAGAACGAGTGGAGATGCTACGTCGTCGGACGCGAAAGATATCCAAGCCGTCTTCGAAAAAGAAGGAATAAAAGGCGTTGGCTTTGAAAGCTTGTGACCGATAGACAAATTTGTTCCTGGTTCCTGATTTGCTGTATTCATAAAAGAGTTTATAGAAATTTCGCATTGAATATACTTTACAGAGACCTGAGATCTTGTTTCGCTCGAAGGACTACGCTTTTTTATTGTCAGGAAGGGTATACTGAGCCGTCTAGGTGCATGTTGCAATGTGAGGTTGATAGTTGAGTAGTTGAAGAAACCAAGAAACAGAGACTATGAAAGTTGAGAGCTATACTAACCTGTATAAAGTGTTTGGAGGATGCTGGTGTATTGGAAGTCCTGTTCTCGTGATATATATTGACACAGTGCGTCTGAACAATAGTCCTTTTCTGTGTTCAATCTCTACAAATCCCTGTGGCTAAGCAACAATCAACTGTCCCCAAACGTAGAGGAAGGTAGTGATGAGTCGGTCTTATGGGATACTACAGAATACCCTATCTCTCATACTCCGGTGATCTTTAACCTCATGCCGATCATACTATTATTCACCTTTGGGCCTCCTTCTTTTTCCCTTTGCCACGACTCAGAGCCAAGACTGTTACGGTGGCAACGGATCTCATATTACCGTAGTCGTATGGCTAAGCTTTTCCCTTAGTATGAGCTGTTCTATGTTGGACATACCGATAGTTCTTCTAAGTGGCTTTACGAAAAAGGTTCAAAAAATGTGAGTTTATACGGAGCGATGGGAGCACTAGCTAAACTAAGTCCTACTTCCTACAAGTCCACATGAGACCAGAACCCTGGAGTATATATAACTGTGCGCACGATTGGATATTAGCAGCACTCAGTAAGGATATCATCATAGAGCCTTACTTGCTTGCGTTTTGTGGTATTGATGCGAGTAGATGTGGTGTTGAAAAGGATTCTTCCGTGTGTATATTTAATTTGCTTACTCCGTAGCTGGGCATGCAACACGGCTGGTGCATCATCGCTTCCTTGAAAATGAGCGGTTTCTTTTCTGATTCCGGACCATTCATCAACCCTTGACACTGTCAATCCCTGGAATCTATATATGGTCCAAGGCAACCGAATTATATTATAGTAAATCAGCAGATTTATACGTCTTGGCATGAAACCGCTTGGCATAGCCTAATTAGGAAAATCGTATATGGACTTTTTGGGTTGGGTTAGGGTTCAGAGTTTTTTTAAAGCCGCACTTACTACGGGTTCGACCCGTTTGCGGGGTTTAACTAGCCAGTCATATAGGAGCCCTATGCTAATGTCTACCTATTGTCATACCTATTGTCAAACAAGACATAGATTGACTCTGGGAATAAGAGATAAGCAGACCATACCTTCTGGGGGCTAAAATCACTGTTGAGATGCTCTCAGATTTCAATTGATGTGTATTTCTCTAGACAAGACAAGTTTGGGAAGTTCTATTCTTCCATGTTCATCTATCTCTGCTCAAAGCCCCAACAATAAATGCATCCTTTATTTAACACATCCGGACTTGGACTGGTAAGAAGAACGTCTATCCCTCTGCTGCCATCTTTTTGGCCCTATGGTGCTTTTTGGCCCCCGATTTCTTCTTATATATTGGAGACATTTATTTAGATCTAATGGGCCAATCGGCTGATTCATGCCGACCTCTGAAAACCGCTGCCAAATGCATCCTCCACCGCGGGACGTTATGAAGTTAGCTTAGATAGAATTGGGATGCATTGGTACCATCGAAGACACCAATCTGAAAGTTGCTTAACCGCATGTGTCTGTCAAAAAGAATTCGTCGTGGTATAGTGGCTTCTGAACAAGGTTATGAATCCTTGAATGAATACCTCAAAGTCTAGCTAAATTTGTAGCTTGACTAGGTTGACTACTATGACGATAAACTACCGCTACCCAGAAATCTCCCGATTCGACACATTTTGACAGGAATTAGGGACTATAGAGAATATAGAGTGGGGGGTGATATTGTGAGACAGCACTCTATATTCATACGCTAAGCTATTTTAGGAAGGAATATGATTGGTACACTTTCTTGCTCATTCTTGCACTTTGTGCTCTTCTGGATAATGCTATTTCCCCTTGAAGATTGCATGCAGACTGCCAAAAGACAAAGGAAATCGTCGATCCTATACCAAATCCACTTTCCTGATTGTTGATAGCGGCAATTAGAAAGATGTATATATACTTCGGAAATGTCTAAAAGACTCATCATCAGAACTTGTCAGAGCTACAATCTCAGTGTGGTCCAGTGACATGATTTTCGCCTCTCGTCTGCTTTCCATGGGCACATGGGCAGCGGTTGTCCTCCAAGCAACCGCCGTCCCCCATGGCCCATCCTACTTCAAAAGACAGGAGGTGGACACCTGCGGCGCAGTCGGAAAGTATACGGAGGGCGCCAGCATCGAAAAATGGAACCAGGCTAATACAGATGCCTGGCTTGAGAAATGGTGGACTGTGAACGTCGACAAGCGGAAGAGCAACGTACACGGATTCGCTGGTGCTTTTGGCCAATATGCACTAGGCCAGCCCGGCTGGTCGTGCCAGAACAACGGTAACGACGGCAACTGCGATATGCCGGTCTGCGACAACCCCAAGCTCAACTCCCTTGGTAACAACACCGAGGAGGCGTACTATGTGCTACAGGCGCTCAACAACCTGCACGGCTTCTTTGTCGGCCTGGATGAGTCGTTCAATATTCCTGCCATCGTCGCGGCTATGGATAACGACGAGATCGTGAATAACTTCTGGTATGACGAGAACAACTGGGATCCAACACTCCTGAAGCAACTCCTGAATGTGCTCTCTGCTCTGGTTGCCGTCGTTGCCGGTGCCTTTGCTGCGCCTGCGCTCGCACTAGCTGTGGCAGGTGCTGTTCCCGGTCTTCTGGGATCAGGCTCAGCCTTGGTTACCGGTGGAGTGAATGCAGCTGGTAATGCTCTTTCTTCGGTGTAAGTCCTCCCTATCCGAGAGGTCTCTTTGACAGATCCCTGACTATTGCTATTACTAACCTCCTATGTAGAGACTCGAGCGACATCACACAGTCCAACCTCGGCCATATGATGGCGGAGGCAGTGAGATCTATCGCTGGCTCATTTGTTAGCATCAACAACGAGCTGATGTACGGCAATGGCTACGGAAAATCTAGCGCTGATGTCCGCACGTACCTCAAGGGCGGTTCCTGGGTCAACTACCCGGGACTACAGAAGAACGGAGCTCGGGATGTGATGATCAATGTGATGCAGTCGATGATGATCAACTCTCTATGGCGCATGCAGCGTGTGTTCATTCTTGGCGGTGGCGCCTGCGGCGACAACCAGGGCATCGGCTCAGGTATATCGGCACCCGACGACAATTACATCTGCGACGAGAATGGCAAGGCCTGGTACCTATACTTCTGGCAGAGAAATACCGGCTTCTTGGCGGAGAATAAGTGGGGATGGACTTCTCGGCCCTGGGGATCCGATCGTATGGGCGAACATCCTCGGTACGAGGCGGAGGGCGGCTCCGGGCCATTCTGGAAGAATCTCAAGCCACAGGTATGCGAGTTCGAGACATGTAAAGTACATATTACATACTAACCTTTTCTCCCATCTAGGACGCCATCAAGTCCTCTCTCAAATCCTGGCGAGCTGCTGGAAATAACTACACCCCGTCGACCTTTACCGATCGCATGGGCGAGATGTTCACTGAAAGTACTAAAATTAAGTCGGACGGTGTGAACATGGAAGGTCTCTGGACCATCCCCGTGTGCGATATCGGTAAAACTACCCAACCAGACTGGAAATATGGCCTGAAGAAGGACATCCTTCATCCGTACGGGTACACCGAATATCAAAGGTGGTGCGGACCTATCTGTGAAGGTGACCCGCAGAAGACAGCAGACTTCTACAAGGCGGCCAACTTCAAGGATGGGTTTGACAAGCCGTTCCTGAACAGATGTGGGCACCCGGATTCCAGCCCCGTTACCACTTGGTGGGATTATACAACCGGCGAGACGAAGGATAAGCCGTAAGAAGAAGGTATATAGAGCAAAGTTCTCTTTACCATTGATTGTTGGGGAGGTGTTGTTGAGACAGAGCATCTGTTTAGATGCTTGGCTGCTACTAGCTATCTAGCTAGTTAACTTTTAATTGTGTGTAGAGAATCACTCATTCTTCTCTCCTCTGTGTTCTCTTCAGATGTAAATATCGTTTGGCCTGGATTTGGAGCCCACTCAGTCATTAGATCTTCTTGAACTTTCCTTAATGAAGCCAAATGAATTAATTGATCATCTGCTGCTCGGCCTAGAGACGACCATGATACAAGCTGTGCCAGTCTCTGTGAGTCATATTTGCAATGAACGTATTTCCTATGGCAAAGGAGCAGAAAGTCATCTGCGACTAATAACGTCAACATCATCACGTGAGGGACAAACAATCAAGGGGTTGATTAATTCCTGCGGGGGAAACTGCAACATCCTGGTCTTTAGTTTTGCTGGATTTTCATGACAATCATGAGTCCGAGGGTTCAGCTGTGAGTATTTAAAGGGGCCTAGTGCCATTAGGGTACAAAGATACCAGAAAACAGAACAGACTAGTCAGATCGATACGTTGTGATGTTGCTTCGTTTCGTGGCACTAGCCACATCAGCAACCGGCTATATAGTCACTACTTTTGTCAATGACAGAGCTACCTGCTATCTGTATCCAGAGTCTCTCCGACATGACGGCCAGGCGGTTGACGATGCGCCATCGATCCACCAAGCCTTCGATGTGTGCGGCCAGAATGGAGATATCATTTTCACCAACCATGTTTTCCACATAAACTCAGTGATGAACACAACAAATCTGGCCAACTGCGACGTGGTTCTACAAGGGGAACTTCGCTTCTCAACTGACATCGCCTACTGGCTCTCTCACTCGTACGACGTCGTTTTCCAGAACCAATCAACCGCCTGGCTCTTCGGCGGCGAGAACGTCACTTTCCGCGCCGATGGCGGCTGGTATAACGGCCAAGGCCAGGCATGGTACACACAGAACCAAAACCACAGTAACCAGCCCGGCCGACCGATCAGTATCACTTTCTTTGAATCCAAGAACCTGCTCGTGGACGGTCTCCGGATCATCCAACCCCAGTTCTGGGCAACCTTCGTCACATACAGCAAGAACGTCTCACTTAGGAATTTCTATGTCAATGCGACTAGCAATGACCAATGGGGCACCGTGAACACGGATGGGTACGACTCGTGGAACAGTGATAAGCTTCTTGTTGAGAACGCAGTCGTGCAGAGCGGTGATGATTGCATCGCAGCCAAAGGAAACACCACAAACCTCCACGTTAAGAACGTCACTTGCTACGACAACTTCGGTATGACGATCGGCTCTGTCGGACAGTACCCGGATATGCCCGACTATGTCGAGAACGTGACCTTCGAAGACGTGAGATGTATCAACTGCATGGAAGGCGCATTCATCAAGACCTGGCAAGGCGTCACGAACGAGGATAATCTCAACAATGATGCCGGCGGCGGCGGTAGCGGTTTGATCAAGAACGTCACCTTTCGCAATTTCGAAATGACCAATGTCGCCCTGCCAATTCAGATATCGCAGTGTATCTACACCGAGGCAGATGGTAAATACTGTAACACGTCCAAGATGGCGATTGAGAATATTACCTGGTCGAACATCAGAGGTACCACGAGGTTTAATGTCGGCGCGTCGATTTATTGCTCTGATGTTCACCCGTGTCCGGGTATCAAGTTTGAGAATGTTCATCTTGAGTCGGTCAATCACACGCTTGGCTTGCCGATGTATGGGACTACGCTGCAGGAGGAGGTTTATCAGTGTAAGAATCTCATTGGGCAGGATGGGTCTGGTATTCCTTGCAATCGGGTTGCGCCGAATAACTATGGCCAGGTTGTGACCTCTAATATTAAGGAGTAGCTGATCGTGTTAGGGTCTTTGGTGGCTGATGATCATTTTGTACACATTATCATATTGGATACAGCCATGCAAGTCACTATATGATCCCATGTGTTTGGTCCATCTAATTCAGGATTTTGATCTAAATCTGGTTGATAGCTCCATTCAGGTGTTGTGTAAGGTGAATCAACACGACTAGCTTAGCTCTCGTTGATGTGTTGTTCCACGACTATGGAAGTGAACGAAATTGGGATGACGGCCCAAGAAAGTCAAACCCGGATGTTATTTGAGAGAAGCCAATGCACTCCAATTAGCCCTCAGAGGGGCTTCTCCGGAGTTTGCAAATTATCCAACCACACCGGCTGATGATCCATTTCCAATTGGATGGACCAACTTCACAAGGCAGCATAACATTGCAGAGTCCCAAGCACGTTGAGGCCTAAATGTGCACGGTGGGAAGATGTGCAGAACTAGAATGCATCACAGAGAGGCGCTTAGAGGGTGGCTCGCAATGAGAAAATAGATCGATCGAAGATACATTGAAAGATGTGTAGCAACTGAGATCACAAGATCTGCGGGCCCAGGGCAGTGAGTACCCCCTAATATGAAATCCTTGGCGTTGGAAGCCAAGTCCACGATATGGTTCCAAAGCTTCCAATTGGTTTCACCCTAAGGGACTCGCTAGTCACCTTGGGCTCCAAAGTCTCATGTGACTCAGCCATTGTTCATGTGACTCAACTGTGAGAAGGTAATCAGATCACTTGTTGTAAATATACCGAAATTTGATGGAATCACTCCATTGAATGATGAAATGGTAGATCAATGAAGGTGTAGGATATGCAAGAGAGATGAAAGAGAGAGTTTTTTCAGATAAAAATAACCATTGGTCGAGTCTCACTTCGTAGGCAAACTGCAAATAACAAATGCAGGTTTTGGGCACAGCAAAAATCTCTGCACGGTCATATGCCTGTCTTCCTGGACAGGTTCGATGGCACTAGCAAGCCACGATCTTGAGGTTGTTTATATTTCCGAAATAGGCGATTACCAAGCTTGGCAGGAGTACCCGTGCACTACAGTCTATTACCGCCAGTGGGATTCTGCCTGCAGTATAATTAAGAGTATTTTCTTTATATATATGAATACATCACCATTGCACGAATTGTATACATTGAATTGTTTATGAAATAGAGCATACAAAATTGCGAAAAAAGAATAGTGTAGAATGTTGTAGATATTTCGCAATAGCCGTACAATATGGATGTATCGGATTCTAGGCGGCACAATTTTGCCGGTCTGTAAATAATGCCATCCGGTACCTAACCATGGGAACCGGCCCGGGGGGTGTTTTGATTCGCAAGATGGGGTTGACGCATCGTCATTCCCTATGACCGCCTTGCCACTAAAGAAATCTCTGATTCGATAGTCTTGGCTGTTTTTGCGACAAAACTCACGAGCGTGTTTATCGATTTCTTACTGGTTAATTAGTATTGTGCGCACGAGGTTGCCAAGCTCGCTCTTAGTGGCGCCTTTGATGGCGCCTTCAATGGCACCTTTCTATGTATAGGTAAGGGGAAAAAAGCAAATCATGTGGTTGACATGTTTGTCAAGTTTGTTCAAGTCACAGGATCTAAATGGCGAAAATGCGGGGGACGTTCGGGCCGAGTAACGAATTGGATAAAATAATTTTAGTCTATGGCTGACTCATGTGGCAATGACTTCATTTTGCAATTTCTGTAAATAGAGTAGCCAATTATAGACGAGAAACGTAAACCATTCCCAGGGGTCACTTGATCCATTTGCGGGATATTACCTAAAAACTCGGTTTGCTTCGGGGGTGATCTAACCGGATTCGGACGTTCCTTACGTTTTATGATCAAATTTGGAATCTAGAATTCCATGGTTGAGTGATTTTTACGTGATTTGAGCAAGGATCACGATGTTGGTTGGTTGAAATTTTCAACTCGTTTTTCAACAGAGTCAGACTTGGTCCAGATGGCGTTATGATGATCTACCCGTGGAATATCCCCCGCAAAATTCTTATAAGAGGACAAGTTCCCCGGACTTGAGAATAACATTCACATTGAGAACACTCAATTCATCTACATCTGCTATATCTATTACATCAGATACTTCATATACTTCATCCCACTACACAACTATATGTGAGTGCTACAAACATCTCCCTATATCCAACAGCTACTAATACAATTCAGTCAATGACCCAGAGTCAACCCTCTTTCACAATGACACTCCAACTCAACCATTCCTCACAAGGCCGGAAATGCGAACAATGTGGTCTCCCCGGAGTGCGCGTATCCTCAAGCTCAGGCTCCAATAATGCCGGCAGCCGCGCATACTACAAATGTGTCCCTTGCAATCGCTCCCTGGGCCCTTGCCCCTGCACAACCCCAGGAACCAGAACAACCTTAACGTGTTCTTGTACTGGCAACAATACCCGTTCCGAATCACCAGACCTTGACGAAACCCCTCGCGGTCAACCACTCAACCCACACAACCCCAATTCAGGGTTCGACGAGGATTGGGAGTCAAATTGCAGTCCCGGCTTCATGGTCTCCAAGTTTAAAGCTCGTGGCATGGAATTGCTTCACTGGCCTTGAAATTGATGCATTTTGGGATTTTTTTGGGATTTTCTTTTCGGAAATAGCGAGCATTGTTTAATTCATCAAGTGTTGATACTCGATCGTCGCCTAACACGCAACCCTAAGATCTTGAGTAAAAAGTTTATATATACCTAATATCATTGAAGAGTCGTGGCTTTAAGGCCAGAAGAACGTTTTGGTACCTATCAGTAAAGATCTACGAAGAAAGAGCCATATTCTATACCTATCTCAGACATCGACTTAATCTAAAATTACATAACTACATGTAGCTAACTTTCCAAGGTTGAGGAGTAACTTTCTGCCGTTCTATCAAGTAGACGGTGCAGCCGCCAACCAAACCAATGATATTCACTGCAACTTTGGCCGAGTTGGTCTAAGGCGCTAGGTTAGTCAATCAACTTGACTTGAAATTGAATTCCCACTAATTACATCACCGCCTCAAGAGATCCCTCTTCACTGAATACAGTGAGCATTCTAGTTACGAAAGTAGCGTGGGCTCGAATCCCACAGGTTGCAATCCCTTTTTTTCCTGCTTATTTATCATCATTAATTTTGCCTCCAGGGCTGGCTTGCCAAGAGACCCATAGTATGTGGGCGTGCTCATAAGCACCAAGGCTATTTTGAACCCTTGAACGCTATGCACCTTCGTATTCGTAGGGTTGAACCCAACGACGAGAGAGAGAGCGGATCGCGACCATTGGGCATCTGTTGTCAATATGTGGGAGGAGTGCGGGATTTCTTAGATAAGGTGCGAAAGCCCGGTCCAAGATCATCTCGTATACTGGCTAAGCCCCAGAAGACGAAAAAAATTGGTAACCTGGCATATCAACATTCGCTCGATATAGTAGTCGTTTTGGTGAACCTTTGGTTTACCAAATGATCCTATTTTGGCCTGGTGGTGTCAGGCCCGCCTGCCTAGCAGAAGAGATGGAGTTAGTAGTAACCTTTAGGAACACCTATTATTTACTAGTAATTACCACGACCTAGTGATCTAGTGACCCTTCTATTCCTAGAAGCTTCCTATGTTACCTAGGTACTGCTATTGATTACGGAAAATGGCCATGTAAGCCAATTGTAAGAGTAACACAACCTTATCAAGACATCTCATATCGAGCGCAGCATGCTCCGGTATTATACTAGTTACTTACTAACATGTCTACCTTAGACAAACATCGTTGCACCGAGGACTATTCTGTACATATAACTATCTAAATTTCGGCTGGCCTCGTCCTTGAGAAGAAAACTATTACATCCACTTGATCTCAGAGATTAAAAATACAGTAAACAGCGGCTTGTCACACAGCCCCAAGCAGTTCTGCGAACCTAAGAAGATTTCTTCTAATGCATCCCCTGTCAACTACTATGTAATTGACTCGCCCAGGTCCTTGCGTCCTCTTATGAAATCCTAGCCCCTTTCACTATATAAGCATGTATCATCGGGCAAGAGTAACCTGGCTGTAAACATGTGTCAATTAGCGACTTCTCATAGGAATATCAGTAAGGTAAGGCTGTAATACCGAAGTATCAACGCCTGAGCCTCTTAGCTTGATCTGAAAATTGAGACTCAGAAAGAGGGCGCTTTCTTTTCAGCCGTAAACGAGCTTCCATGAATTGCAAAAATACCGTAAGGGATGGCGTAATATATATCGATACGGTACATGTAATATAAGTGCAAATTCATACTAGTACATCAAGACTTCATACTTCAATTACATCCTTATTTGATTCGATTTATAATGGGAAGATAACTTGTAGAGAACAATGCGTCTCTAGGATAATGACATGAAGTGATTCCAGGGTGACCAAGCACACCTTGGCATCTAGTAAAGTATTGACGAAGCGAGAGCGAGAGCGACAGGAAGATTTCAACTTCAATCACCAGATTCTATTATACAACAAAAACCAATAAAACAAAAGATATGACTGCTTTTCTACCATGATATCAATCCTTCCAATCTCTGCATTGAACTTTCCAAATTATACCAAGCGCCAGGTGTGATTCTTTCCATTTCCCTTCCCAAAGGAACTCAGACCATACTGTTTTTTTTTTGTATCTTAAGCACAAAAAAGATTAAATAACTCCCTTGCCCCTTCAGTCTAGCAAGTTCGGGAGACCACTTTCTATCTTAATAGGGGAACAGGAAGTCAAGGTCGCGTTATAACCGTCCGACCAGTTTTGTGGCCTCTCCGAGGGCCCATATTGAAGGGATGGTGGTACGTCGGTCTTGCCATTTGAAAGACCGGGCGTTGGCTATGAAGAATTGTCATTCGATAATGCCTCGCGCAGATACGGAATAGGAAATTTCAATACCACAATCCGGCTCTTCGGTTGAGGATTTTCTCTTTCATCCATCCATGTCTTGAGGGTGCTGTAAGATCGGTTGCCATCGAATTTGATGTTATATTCTCTGGCGAGTGTCACTTGTCTCCATTTTTCGCCTGAATGGGCTTCTATCCAGGCCTTTGTCCAGGCAATAGCAATCGATCTCTCTTCATAGCTAGATATGCGATTGCTCTTTGGTGGTTTCTTCTGTGGTTTCGATATTTTGTTGAATTTCCGGCGTTTGACTGCGCGAGAAGATGGACCCTCACTTTCGATGGGCGTGTTGCGCCCGTCATGCGTGAGACTTTCTGGGATTGGTGAGTGCGCATCCACCTGGGGCTCATCTTGTGAGGATACAGTATCGATTGGATCGTCATTTTGGTTTTCCGTTGGTGAAGAGATGGACGATGAGCCATTCGAGGTGATTGGGTTCCCCGAGACAGCATTTCCGGTTTCTTCTAGCAGAGAAGCATGACCTGCTGAGATGGCATTTTCATCCTCTGCTATTAGAGACATCGAATATGAAGTTCTCGAGGGCAAAGGGTTTAATGAAACCACTGTGCCATCGTCTGGGGCCACGTTGCCTCCATTGTCAGAGTCATTGCTCCTCTGTTGATGGTTGAAATGCCCAGGATTGTCATTTTCTGTCCCATTGTCCTCTGGGCCCTCTTCACCTGGACCCTCGTCCTCCGAATCATCATCCTCCGAGTCATCATCCTCCGAGTCATCATCCTCCGAGTCATCATCCTCCGAGTCATCATCCTCCGAGTCATCATCCTCCGTACTATCGTCTCCCGACTCATCCTCACCCGACTCGGAACGGTCTAAATTCATCGCTACTGGTTTATCGCGGTCGTCGTCTGAAGAGGCTTCCGACCCGCTTGAGCCATTGGATGAGCTTGACTGTGCTGAACTAGATGGTGCGTGGGATGTTATGCCACGACCCAGGAGGGATAGAAGGTTGCTCAAGCGTATCTCCATTGCTCGTTGAAGATTTTTTAGTCCGTTTGTATCTGTTCCAGTTAGATAATTGCTTGCACAAGCTTGTGGGGGAAGTACAAACATTTTGGAACGTCAGTTAGTTCGTTTGAGATATCAGTCAATATCTCCATAGTGGCCTCCACCTCCCTCTCTACTTCTTCGTGACTTGGCCCCGAATTGGAAATATGTAGGGCGTAGCTTCGGCAAAAGTCGACTCTGTTTTGTAATTGCTGGTCGTGGAAAAACACCTTCCCTTGAATGAAACAGTAATACCCCTCACTTTGTTCCTGGAAATTGCCATGACGAACAATGTCCAACCAACAGATGGATGTGCTATCTGCATCTTCATTCACACATGAGGGGCCACAACCCATGTTCTTTTTCAGCGACCTTTCCATGTCATAGCTTTGCAGCGGCTGTTTCGAAAAATGCTGTGTGAAGGTTTGAGCTGTCTCGAGGACCTCTCCATGGTATCGAATGAGGTCGTGCCGATGTGACTGGAGGTCTTTGAATCGTTGTAGAGGAACGTATCTCTCTGACCCCCAGCTGATGAAATACTCAGGGCTATCCATATTGTTTATCTTAGACCTATTTGATGTCAGTTCAACTCGTCATGCTCTGTCGGTTATTTCCCATACAGTACAGTAATTCCTTTCCTCTATTGCTTAGAAAAGTTCCAAGGCCTCTGAGTATTGAAACTTGACTTTGGCTCAAGGCAGTTTCAAAGTTGGGATATCTGGAGTGAAGAGAATAATGCAAAGGGAAAGGGGAAAAAGATCAAATGATATGTTTTGAATTTTCTCATAGTGTGCCCGGCGCCGACTGTTATCAAGTACGCCGGTATACCCTGGTCACTCTGATATTGCCTGTATTAGGGTAGGTCCCTCGACATGGACCTTGACTAACACGTAACGAATATTTACTCGCGTACATTGTATTTGTGATTTCAAAAACAATACAATACTTCCCATATAAATGAGTACGCACGTGTGAACTCTAGTCATTCCAGCCCTTACTATGAACAAAAGCAAGCATGTTTCATGTACCAACCGTCACTGAGGACGGGTAATTTCTGCATCCAAGGCGCGCGATACAGAAGCACAATATCGAATACGGACACTCGAGGCCCCACCCATGATTGTTGGGATTCGGGGAACAAGACTCCTACATCTCGCTGTGGCGCGCCCACGATACCTATCACACCTCATCCTTGTAGTCCAGGGGCTTACCAGGGGGCAGTGTTTGGGGGCCGGGGCCAAGCTGCTAGTGCTAATAGATTATGAGTACTCCGTAAATGTCGCCTGTTCCATCGTATAAAACGTGCCTGCTATTTTCTCAACTACTTTTTAGCGCATCAATTCAGTTAATAGGGGTCTTTCAAGTCTTGACTTGATTCGCCTAACGCCTAACAGGGGTGTATGTACGGAGTACCTAAAGCATACTTTGCTTTTTAACCCCTATCTAGCCTCATTGGTGTTTTTATCATCCACACTGCTCCTGTGCTTGAAAAAGCCCTATCAACCACCAACCTCAAGAATACAGCTATACAGATAGACAAACATCTTATGCTGACTGCCGTTAACTGCATTGCAGTGAGCAGAGGATAATTAGAGATACTAGGATCTAGTATCCTAAACATTATATGTATATTCTAGCCCTTTAGAGTGGGGAACTGCGGGTGCCCCTGACTCGTGTAGCTTTCTTAGCGCAGCTTTTTCTTTATTGTCCTCCAATATGCTCCGTACAAAGTACAATGCGTTGTACATTTCACCCTAGGCTTTCTGTTGGTGGTACTGCCAATGTTTCACCTTCTGGTTTATTGATTTATCTATCTTATTGACCTGTTGATCAGCTGGGTAAAGATTTACGAGTCTGTGATCATTGATACATTTCTGAATCTTTCTTAACCGAACTATAGGGTAGTTTGAAAAGCCTGGGGACTAGCATGAACTTTTTTGACTGCTCAGAATTAGCGAGAATCGGTAATTATAATGTGTGATGATCGACTTATTTCGACGGAAATATCAACGCTGGCAAACCTCAGGTCAATAGCCTAAGTTCGGCGCGATAAAGATAAAATGTCAGAAGATTTAGCGAATTCTTGTAAGATTCCAGGTTATATAGGCTTAGGCTACGACATTTAAGGTAACCATTTAAGTTCCGAGACAAGTGAACTAGCCTTAAAACGAAACCAACTGGCGAAAAAAACTTGGGAAGCAGAAAGTTTCTAAAGGTTCTTCTTTAGAAAAAGGGGGCCAAGAAGCAAGACTAAATCTTTTACTGGGCTACGAAAGCTTTAGCATCTTCTAAAATATGGAGCTATAAGGTTTGAAGATTGGCCTCGTTGAGGGTTGATTAGTGAGCTAGGTGAGTCACGCAAAAGCCACAACCCTAGAGCCATAAACGCTGCAGTTTTCAACTTTACCAACATCTCGAGACACTCTCATAAGCAGTAATTCGACAATCGGAAGCCCAAATAACAAAATGGCATTGGAATTCACTCTCCCCACAGCCTTGATCCTGATAGACAACCAATCGAGCTTCTGCGATCCAAAGACAATATCCCATTGGGGCACCACACGGTCCAACCCGAAATATGAAACCAACCTCCGAGCACTTCTCTCCGCATTCCGAACTGCGAGATACTCATCCTCAACGCCGCTGGAGGTAATCCACATTTTTCATTCCTCCACTACCCCGGGATCTCCACTCCACCCATCCAACCCTGCGGGTATCCGTCCTCTAGACTTCGCCACCCCTGCCTCAGATGGGTCGGAGCCTGTCTTTTGGAAAAGTGTCAATTCCTCTTTTATCGGAACTGGACTTGAAGCGCATTTGCGTGTAAAGGGGTTCCGTCAGCTTATCATTGCTGGGTTGACGACTGATCATTGTGTTTCAACTACCGTGCGAATGGCGGCTAATATGGGGGTTGTGGATCGGTATCTTGGAGATGGCCCCGTGCGGTTGAGACCGGACGGAACTCATGAGAATGATGCGGAAGTTGATAAGGGACGGATTGTGCTTGTCGAGGATGCCACGGCTACCTTTGGGAAGGCTGGAATTGATGCGGAGACCATTCATAAGGTTTCTGTTGCCAGCCTCGATGGTGAGTTTGCGGATGCATTTGCCACAGAGGAGGTTATTGAGGCCTTAAGCAAGATTCAAAACTAGCGTGATAAAGTCTGCTATATGAATCATGATCGAATGGTGGCGTTCAAGCAGGTTGCAGTCACCACCATCTCGGAGCATATGTATAATTTGCAATATGGGTATTTTATACATCTTAAATACACAAATATTGCATCAATTCTATACATGTAGTAAGTTAAAACCCAAGTCTCATTCACGTCGAATCTTAATGCGCAAAATTATAGGAGTTCCAGAAGCTTGAATTCTCAATATATGAATGCTTGATATCTCTCTGGTTCAACTTGTTACCTTTACGCGATAAGAACAACGAAGAAATACGAAATACCTAACAAGACTACTAAAAATAAAAAAAGGGTATAGTCTACAGACATCTACAATGTCTACAAGCCAGACACAGAAACATGGATTGTCTCTCTCATCCCCGTATGCATTCGTGTATGGTACATGCATGTTATACGAACAAATAAAACAATACAGAACTGTGTGGCTGGTTGCCACTACATGTAAACATAGTTGCCTTTGCCGTGGACAAGGATAGGCCAAGTCCCAGGGCGCCTCTGGGTCCTAGCCTCCTCGCCTTTAGGCTCAGGTCAACTCTCGAAACTCTCACTTCCCCAGACTCCTCATCTTCTCCTTCAACCTTTCCAATATTTTTCTTTTGATGTCCGCAGACATCACGATCTCGTCGTTCCACTCCTCGATGGGGTTCTCGTTTTCCCCATCGCTCTCATCATCCTCGTCGAATTCCGATTCGCAGTCACTGAGGTCTTTTTCGGCCTCAGCGCTGTCACTCTCCTCTGATTCACTCCCCCCATCTTCGCTGTCCTCCCTATACCGTAGTTCCCACTTCTCCCACTCGTCCCACTCATCCTCTTCATCGTCTTCGATCGTTGGAAGAGGGATGGGTTTAGTGGTATCCCCATCCGTGAAGGGCCATGCCCACTGGAGAAGGACATCCATTTTTTCGATGTAGTCCTCCGCATCGAAGTTGAGTGCTTGGGTATAGGCCACTTTGAGTCGGCCGCCGTCGTAATACCCATGCAAAACTCGAACTCGAGCGTCGGGGAGGAAAGAGATAATCATTGTCTACATGGCAGTCAGCCAACCATGTCTTGTGGAAGTCATAAGGCATGGAAGAGCGTCTGGACTTACCGGAAAGTCAAGTTGGGGACGCTCATGTCGGTGGTACCTGCCGAATTGGTGCTTGTGGTTATTGAATCCACTCAGCATCCATCGGACAAGCACAATGAGCTCTCCCACTGACGGGAGGATGTCGTGGTAGCAGTCGTCACTTTTCATGACGACAAGTTGGTGAGCGGTCTTTCCGTCGGCACTTATGGCTCCCCTTTCAATGGTGAACCCGTGCCGATCGTTGCTGTTGAAGAGACCTTCCTCTTCTCGCATGCTATTTTTACCAAGGTTAGTTTTGGGTTACTTTCTATCTATGGGAATCTAGACTTACGAGACCGGCTCCCAGCAAATGGGGATTCTGTTTCCGCCTTGGGATTTGCGGAGGTAGTTCGAGAATGCCCGGTGGAGTTGATGGTGCATCTCTTTGGGGATGATGTCTTGCTCATCCTTCATCGCCCGGGCCCACGTGAACGGGTCGTCCAGAGGGTCCTCGGGGTCGAGTTCAGTGTTGTCGATTTTGAAGGAGGTGTCGGTGTCGGGTGTGAAGAATTGGATGTGGGAAGGATCGGTATTCCCAGTCCAGAAATCCATCGGATGGATATCAATACCAGTGTACTGGTTTGATATATAACCAGGTTCCAAGTGGCGGAGCTCTCTGTGGAGCTGCCGGAGTCTGTGCTCCTTTTGCTCGAAGAGCCAAATCCAGGGTGGAGTAGGGCACATTGTGACACCACCTGGGGATGAAGAAGTATGAAGAAGGAAGAGAAAAAAGTAGAAGGTGCAGACAACGGGGGCTCTTTTACGTTTTGCCTTGATCAAATTCTGGATCTGCTCCGATTTCCAATACAGTATCAACTTTGCTTAAATCGGACTGATTTTAGTATATAAAGATTATTTCTAGAGTGCTTCCGGTGCCAAATAGAGTAGCGGACTGTCTTCTGCTAGGCTGTATACCTTCCAAGCTTTCTTCAACAAAATATATAGTTTATACGTCGGAGCAGAGAACCACGATAGACGGCATAAAGTCCTATGTGCTCCGACTCCCATCCATGGTCAATGCCAGGGGGAGTATGTGGTTCAGCACGCTTTGCATCAAGATTTTTTTTTCAAGGCAAAATGATATATACCCTAGACAGGAATAGTATACAAAGCTCAAATATTGCGTCACTGGTGACGATTGATGTATACCATAGACGAAGAAGAGACGCTTCAGTGAAGAAAGACTGATCTTATAGTATAAAGTAAGTGAGATTGAAGAAAGGCTGGTCTTATAACAAACAGTAAATGAGACTGAGATGAAAGGTATGCGGGGAGTTATTTTATAGAAAGCTCAATTACGGCACTCAGCTCATGTAATATACTGAGAGCCATCAACCTGGATGCTCCAACATATGATTTTGCAGATCAGCCTCACCTCCTGCCATATTTCACGCCAATCCAATGGGCAGGTGAAAGCCGCCATGACAATCACAGTACATAGTCGTGAAAAGGTCACATTTTGAAAAATGAGATCTGAGACATGCTCCTCAAAACACCCAAATCCATCCCCGCCTGTTGGCCTGTTAGTTAGTGCAGTACGAATGGATAAATCGTGATGTTTGCTCGAAGATGTGTCCAGTTTCTTAAGCACTTTGCTGAGCTCAACCTTGGACTCACATAAATTTCCGTTCAGGACTGGTAGCAGGGATAGTACCTTCCCTAAGCAATTCCAACATTGGGAAGGCACTCCCTACCTGCGAGTATAAACCTCCCTCGTCTTTCGCATCTTGCTTCTAGACATATATGTTCTGCTATGGGTGTGTATACTTAGAACATTTGATATAAGGGACCAAGGAGCCTGCTTTGTGGACTTCAAAAGATTGGTTTCCATAGATTTCCATATTTCTACCATCTACTCTGCACAAGCAGCAGTAATAATTACACGAGCATGATTACTTCAAGGATCTCTAACACAAAGAAAAAGAATACAGGAGCAGCCGAAAAGGAACAGCCCATAAAACCCCATAGTATAAAATGGCACATATACCTCGGAATCCCTGGCTTCAAAACCAGGACAAGACACGCGATGCATCAGAAGGAGCGACAAATTTAAAGAAGGTCGCGCTTGACGAACTCAGCAAGAAGGGTCTTGCCGAGGGAAGCAGGGCTGCGCTCAACGATGACACCAGCATCGGTGAGAGCGGCGATCTTGGAGTCGGCACCACCCTTACCACCGCTGACGATGGCACCGGCGTGACCCATGCGGCGGCCGGGGGGAGCGGAGATACCGGCAATGAAGGAGACGGCGGGCTTGTTGTGGATGTTGTTGGCCTTGAAGAACTCGGCGGCATCCTCCTCGGCGGAACCACCAATCTCACCGATCATGATGATACCGTCGGTCTCGGGGTCCTCGAGGAAGACCTTGAGGCAGTCAATGAAGTTGGTGCCGGAGAATGGGTCACCGCCAATACCGACGACGAGGGACTGACCGAGGCCAGCGAGGGTGGTCTGGTTGACGGCCTCGTAGGTCAGAGTACCGGAACGGGAGACGATACCAACACGACCGCGCTTGTGGATGAAGCCGGGCATGATACCGATCTTGCATTGACCCTAGAAACGAGATGTGTGAGTATTTGATGTGGCTTGAATGATTGCAGGGAGTCGAAGTGGTAGCATACGGGAGCGATGATGCCGGGGCAGTTAGGACCGATCAGGCGGGTCTTGTTCTGGGTCTTGAGGATATCGGTGATGCGGACCATGTCTATATGAAATCAATCAGTTCGCGCGCTTCAATTGATGGTCGATCGATCCGTACCGTGCTGAGGGATACCCTCGGTAATACTGTTGAACGAGAAGCTGTCAGATAAAGTTCTTTGCAGGGGGGAGCTCCATTGGGCACATACCAAACAACGAGGCCCATTTCAGCGGCAATGGCCTCCTCGATACCGGCAGCGGCAAGGGAAGGACTAAATTACAATTAGCATTGTGTTGTTGATATTTCCGAAGGTTAGTTATCATACGGAACGAAGATAGCGGAAGCTGTGGCACCGGTCTCCTTCATGGCATCGCTGACATTGGCGAAAACGGGACGGTCAAGGTGCATGGAGCCGGCCTTCTTGGGGTTGGTACCACCGACGACATTGGTGCCTGCCCTGTGTAAGTTTTTGTTTCGATGCGATCATGAAATAAATATTTACCGTAGGCGATGGCCTGCTCAGCGTGGAAGCTATGTCAAGGTCAAATGTCAGTATCATGCGCATGCGATAATGAGAGCGCGAGGATTGCACTTACGTTCCCTGCTTTCCAGTGAAACCCTGGAAGAGAACGCGGGTGTCCTTGTTGATCTTGAGGTTGTTCAAGGTCTCGCTGTAGGCAGAGGTGGCCTGAGTCCGACGCTGGGTGGCACCGACATTGCGAAGGGCCGAGAGGGTGTTACGGCGGAAGGCCTGCATTGCTGCAAGATATGTATGTTTTGAGGGGAGAGGTGAGGGTATAGGTGAAGGGGAAGAAAAGGACGGGATAAAGGGCAGGTGTTCGGGATGCGTACCCGGGAGTTTTCGCTCGGGATAATTATTTTACTTAAGCGGATTTCACTTCGGGCGCAGGCCTCGGCGACCACATTTTTCTATCTAATCAACCTCACCCCCACTAAACAAGCAACTCGTCGAATTTCGGTTCCGCCTAAGCGCGGTGTTAATCTCTTCGTCATGGCTACCATGACTATGACCTCGCAAGAAATCAAAAGGGCCGCCAAGAAGAACGCAAAGAATGTCCCAGAGAACGAGCGATTCATGCGAGCATGTTCCGATATTGCAAATGCTCTCATTCAGGATTTCGAGTCGCATAGGGACTCTACCAAGCCCAAGAAGGATCTCAATCTTAACAAGTTGCGGGCGACATTTTCAAAGAAGCACAGCTTGTCCAGTTCGCCACCATTGACGGCCATTATCGCGGCAGTACCTGAACACTACAAGAAATACATCCTGCCAAAGCTGATTGCGAAGCCAATCCGTACGTTTACATATTAAGTGGGAGTGCTTGACTATCGCTAACCTCGTTCATAGGAACCTCCTCTGGTATCGCCGTGGTGGCGGTTATGTGCAAACCCCATCGATGCCCCCACATCGCGTATACCGGTAACATCTGTGTCTATTGCCCTGGTGGCCCCGACTCCGACTTCGAATACTCAACTCAATCATACACTGGATATGAACCGACCTCGATGCGAGCGATCCGCGCTCGCTACGATCCGTTTGAGCAGGCGCGAGGACGTGTGGATCAGATCAAAGCTCTCGGTCACAGCGTGGATAAGGTGGAATACATTATCATGGGCGGAACTTTCATGTCGCTACCGGAAGATTACCGAGACACCTTCATCTCTCAGCTTCACAACGCGCTGAGTGGATACCAAACGGATAACGTTGACGAGGCCGTGCTGGCAGGCGAAATGAGTAACGTCAAGTGTGTGGGTATCACAATCGAAACCCGGCCAGATTACTGTCTGGATACACATCTAAGCAGCATGCTCCGCTACGGTTGTACGCGGTTGGAAATCGGTGTGCAGAGTCTGTACGAGGACGTTGCGCGAGACACCAACCGCGGCCACACCGTAGCAGCAGTAGCTGAGACGTTCAGGCTTGCAAAGGATGCCGGTTTCAAGGTTGTCAGCCACATGATGCCTGATTTGCCAAACGTTGGAATGGAGCGCGATCTCTTCCAATTCCAGGAGTACTTTGAGAACCCCAACTTCCGTACCGATGGTCTCAAACTCTATCCCACACTTGTCATCCGAGGCACCGGTCTCTACGAACTCTGGCGCACCGGCCGATACAAGAACTATACACCCAACGCACTTATCGACCTTGTCGCACGAATCCTCGCCCTAGTTCCCCCGTGGACCCGTATCTACCGAGTCCAGCGCGATATCCCCATGCCACTTGTTACCTCCGGCGTGGAGAACGGTAACCTGCGCGAACTGGCGTTGGCACGTATGAAGGACTTCGGCACAACCTGCCGTGATGTTCGCACGCGAGAAGTTGGTATCAACGAAGTCAAGAACAAGATCCGTCCATCGCAGATTGAGTTGATCCGCCGCGACTACGCTGCCAATGGCGGCTGGGAGACTTTCTTGGCATACGAAGACCCGAAGCAGGATATTCTCATTGGATTGCTTCGTCTGCGCAAGTGCAGTGAGACTCACACCTTCCGCCCTGAGTTCACCGGTCAGCAGACGAGTATTGTTCGCGAGCTTCACGTGTACGGTTCCGCCGTACCACTTCACGGACGTGATGCCCGCAAGTTCCAGCACCGTGGCTTTGGAACTTTGTTGATGGAGGAGGCGGAGCGTATTGCCCGCGAGGAGCACGGTAGTCGCAAGATCAGTGTCATCTCCGGCGTGGGCGTGCGTAGCTACTATGCTCGTCTCGGATACTTCCTTGATGGTCCTTACATGTCCAAGATGTTGGACCCTTGGGAGGACGAGGAGTAATATCCTGAAAAACAAAAAAGGCAAAAACAAAAACAAAAAAAGGAAACCAGGTATTCAACTGATGCTCGGTATCTAATTCTGCATCCACTGGCGTTGGCGGTCTCACAAAAACTTGATTTTCTTCTCAACGAAGGACAAATGATTGAATGTCTATACCAAATTTTATCTTTAGATGCATCCAATGGACCAAAAAATGAAAGAGCTGGTAATAATTATGAGCACTCTATGTACAAGTCGCAGGTCGGTCATTTGTGTATTCTAGCAAAGGAGACCGGGAAACCTGCCCGCAAACGCCTTTCAAGTTTAGTCCGAACCTGCCCGTAACATAGGCGAATCCGGGTTGCACAGAGTAGACATGGGTGATTCATACTCGAGGGAATATTTTCCATTCTCTCGGCTTCGAGTCACTCCAAACGCATGAAATCTAAACCACCGTATTGCACTCAAGAAACCCCGAGATATAAAGCTCAAAGATTGAAAATCGACTGATAAAGGTGTCGTCAAGACATTGAAGGAAAAGGGACCAAGGGAATTTCAATGAAGTGATATAGCACCTCCCCTGCTGTCTCGCATGTGAAGGTAAGCCTGGAAACCGCAGAAAATGAAGAAGCCCTGTGAGCCAAAAAATCGCATTGTCAGTAATCGATTCCTTTCTCGTGCAACGAACTCATCGGAGCTCAGGGAGGGGGTTGTGACGTACAGCGTAGACGATCACAGCGGTGTAAATGGAGGCAGCGACGGCGGGACCATCTTCAGGTGACTCTTTTGATCCGGTGTATGCGTGGTTGTTGCTCTATATTGTGGAACTTCTTGTTAGCGGGTGAACCCCATATTACGTAGGTCTGTGACAATGCAGGTGGGTGTTTGGAGGGCTTGGTAGATCAGTCGGAGTCGGGGAGACGTACGCTGTATAGGGAGCCGAGGACTGAGAGGATGATGATTGCGAAAACGGAGATAACGACACTATTCGAGACGCGAGGTGTTAGAGCGATAGGACTTTCCGATGGCTGCTGTTTGGGATGGGGGAGCGTACCAAGACCAGGCGTTCAAGGCAGAGACGACAGGCTTCATATTGGCGGTTTGATGGTAAGTAAGGAGTGTTGTAGAAGCAAGAGATAGGTTGTTGGAGAAAGAGGTCGGCGAATACAGAGAGCTGAGGTTGAAGACTTCCAAGGTTGACATACGGAGGCGGGCGGACCTTCAGTTGATGGAAAAGGCCCTAAGCCGCTTTGGGACAAGTCCAGACACATCTGTGACTCGCACTCCTTGTTTATTTTGTCTTTGAAGTATGAAAATGTAAATAGTGTTCAGCTCGTTTTTCTTTGATGTAATCTATTGGTTTTGATATTTTGATATGTTCTAATTTTAATGTGTTTTGTTCCATTCGATACACTCATCGAACGTCACTCCGGAGCCGCCAAAGATATCTAGCGCGCTGCCAATCGTCAAATCCACTTTTCCCTTGCTACTCGTGTGCACCTTTTCTAGATCTTGTAAATGGCGTGCACCTCCTGCGTAGGTCACAGGAATAGTACACCATTCAGCCAGTCTTGAAACAAGTTCCTCATCGACGCCTTGTTGCAGGCCCTCTACGTCTGCAGCGTGGATTAGGAACTCGGCGCAATATGGTTCCAGCATTGAGATCGATTCTACACAGTGTCAGTGAGCCAACAATCAACCTGGGTTCAGTACTGGCAGGACATACCCTGGTTGATCTCCATCTCTGTGATGGTTTGCCAGCGGTCCATCGCAACGAACCAAGTATCGTCTTTTCTGCGGCAGCTCAGATCCAAGACCAGCTTTGACTTGTCACCACCTAGAGCAGAAAGGACCGACTCAAGCCGCTCGAGCGAGAACTTGCCTCCAGGGAAGAGGAATGAAGTGATGATCACCTATCGCCCGCATTCCATATGATTAGCGTCATCTGACTATTGCTATGACTTTGAGCGCAAGAAGACAGGAACTTGAAGTAGAGGGATAGATAGATATCATTGGGTTCTCAATCAAGTACAATGTCAAGCGAAGAAATCATAATCCATCTGGAGTCCAGGTGCTTACCTTGTCTGCACCCTGGTCGATCCAATATTGCGCATTCTTATCGGTGATACCTCCAGCCACTTGCAGCCCACCAGGCCATGTTTTCAATGCCTCCTGGGCTGCCTCTTCATTCCCTGGTCCAAGCTTCACGACGTGCCCGCCGCGCAAATCGTGCTTCTGATACAATCCCGCATAGTGGCTGGCCGGGAACTTGGATACGTAGTTGGTCTTCAGGTCTGCGGCCACCTGGCTGAGCGTACCACCCACAATCTGCTTGACCTGCCCTGAATGCAGGTCAATGCACGGCCTGAACTTGGTCATTTTCTCTGGCGAATTGGAGAACAAGTTGATTCAGTGACGCTGTGCCCGCGGGTCAGTCGAGGGGCGGCTTATCTTCTTATCACACGTGATCTCAAGCTAAGTCCGAAAAACTTTTGGGCCGAGACATGAGTGTTTGATTTTACAATTTGATCGACAGCACAGTCGCCATGGTTGTGAAAAGAAAGAGAGAAACCACCGTGGTTTCCAAGCCCAAGGCTAAGGAAGACAGCCCTCCTCCGGTGGACAATGCGCAGGACGTATTCCGCAGATTATTCGAAGCACAATTCGAGCCACTCGATTTGCCAGGCCCTACCGCCAAATCTACAAACTCCGATGAAGAAGAAAATGAGATCGGCGATGACTCTGATCTATCTGGGTCGGAGGGTGACTGGGATGGGATGTCCGACATCAGTGAAGAGAGCAACCAAGTCGAGGTGGTCGAACACACAGACGCTTACGCGGCACCAGAAGACAGAATGGACAAGAAGACTTGGAAGGCGTTTATGGTATGTGCTACATCTCAATGCATTGAAAGTACATGCTAACACTGAGGTTTTTAGAGTGGAAAACTTTTGTCCGATTTAGACAAGCCGAGCACCGAGCCAGAACCTACATCCAAAAAAGAAGAAGAGGAAGACGCCCACGACTCTGCGAACCTCAAGCACGATCTTGCACTACAAAGACTACTCAAGGAGTCACACCTTCTCGACTCCGCCGACGACCTCGCTCCCACTGGAAAGAACCGTTTGAAGGCAATTGATATGCGCATGCAATCCCTTGGAGCCAAAACTTCGCTCTATGCGCAAAATAAAATGCCTACTTCGCACCGACGAGGCATCAAAGCCAAGGCCGAATCAAAGGAAGAGAGACGTCGCCAAGAGGCCAAGGAGAACGGTATCATCCTCGAAAAGCCTAACAAGGTAAACAAATCGAGCAACAATGGGCGAAGAGAGCGCGGTGTTTCCGGGGCCTCCGTGGGCAAGTTCTCAGGAGGCACATTGAACCTGAACAAAGACGATATCGCTCGCGTCCAGGCGTCAGGACGCCGTATGATGGGTGGGAGAGGAAAGGGCAAAACAAGAGGCGGCCGAGGTGGAAGTCGCGGTGGTGGTGGCAGAGGTGGTAGAGGTGGTGGCAGAGGCGACAAGCGCTAAGATCACGATATTTGAGAAAGGGTCTTCTCCCATTCTTAGGCTAATATGCTTGTTCGTGTGGCACTGCCTACTCACGCCACTTCAACACAAGAGCTCTTTGAGTTCATGATCCACAAATACATCTCGCGCCATGTCCACTCCGATTTCGATCTTACGGGTCATGAGCTACAACTTCAATCTCAACCCGCATATCCTCCTCGCCAAGCCTCGTCACCCCAACACACGTCCAAATAGGCTGGTGATTTGGCATCCATTTCTTGAAATTCCGCACCATCGCCTCCAGGGCCTCGTCATTGATCGGGGCGTGGTACGAGTTCACCCGAAATACCTGCTCCCAGCCTTTTCCTCCAGCATGCTTCAGGTTCAGGTCCACGTTGGCAAACGCTTGGTCAATCTGCGCATTGATCTCTCGATGGATCACAAAGGTTTGCGGGTCCCAACCGCTTGTTCACGATGTATTAGTACAGTCTATTCATTCAGAAAGCGAGGTTTCGTGACTTGTGCACATACCTTGGCCTGCGCATTCGATGCGATCGCCAATGCGGACGGCTTGGCTGTAATAGAAGTCTCGCTTTGCTTTCTGACCCCAGCCGTCGTAGTTGAAGTATTGGAGGTGTGACATATTTAATCAATAGAGATAATGAATCCCTTGACGATCTATAGATGTTTGAGAACAAAAGTAACACTCAATTGAGATAATGCACTGACACGTACAGCTGGTCAATGTTTTGATCTCCACAGTTAATGGCTGTTGGGCGGAATATACATTCCGCTTCTCAACATATGTCATGGTCATACATCTTATGGAATGACAGGCAACATGAATATGCTAATATCCAGCAAATCCATCAATTTGATTACAACCTATATCGATAGTGATATTACAGACGAGAAGCTCATAGATCGATCATTCTTGATCAGTTTCATAACGGTAAATGTACGTTGGCTGGTGCATCCGGAATAGATGAGAATATATACCAGCGGGTCGCTGCTAGGACTTAGTATTGACATGAACATTGTAAAGAATCCTGCAAGAACCCATAATAACATAAAATAATCTTATAGTCAGGTCTCGCTATTTCTATTTGTGATCTCGTTGATCCGAACTAAATTTCTGAGGTTGATCTATAATTATGTCGTGCATTGAGTTTGGTACTCCTAGTGGACTACATAGAACAAAAAGAATTTACACACACGTGTTATACTTGCCATAGACTAGAGATAAACGATTAGACAATTTGTTTTAATGTTTAAACCATGGTATTTCTATAGCACCATCTGGCATTGAGTTTGCGAATACTCGGACTACTCTCAATACCGAAGTCATCATGGCTCAGAAATTTACACATGCAGATAATCCAATAAAGTCTTCCAGAATAGCCTGTTTCACTTGCACCAGTGTAACCCTCGAGACCCATCCTTGAGTTTGTAAATACTCCGAGAGGTGCAGCGCCAAGTACTCACTTTTGCGACGCCAAGGTATCAAGACTTTGATCAAACGATACCAACGAGTCAAACTTACACGAGAGGAAGATGTATGCAGCCGAAAACCTAATTCGTTCAGGTTATAATATAATGTACTCCGTACTTCGAATCAACAACCTGGTCTGGTCGTTATCGTGAGAGATGCATCTCCACACACACCACGGCGTTATCAAGTTATGATTTTCTGGGAACAACTCACGGAATCGTCGGATGCACACGCGAGCTCCATATGTCGACGATCAAGGGTGTTCCGAGGGGCCCTGTAGGGCCGAACCTCGGGATGTGCATTCGGGAAACCGCGTGTCGGTCCACAGGGTCCCATCTGGATTTTTGTTCTGGACCCAACAGGAAGATGCCAAGCCGGCCTATTGTATTAGGCTGCGCAAAAACGAGGTGACGGGGGTTCAATTTTGAGGGGCACTTTTAACGTTTCTGTTAATAAGACGCTCAGGCGGTTAGAGAATGATAGAATGATCGGCGGTTTGGAGGACATTGAGGACGTCGTTTCATGCGATGACGGCATGCCAGGGTATGTTCTTTCTTTTTTTGTAAACTAGCCCTACATTCTTCACGGGACTCTATGGAATTCCTAATATTATGTTTCTTGTCTGTGTCAAGTTCTGTTGGCGGAGTCCGTCGGGAAAGCCAGGGGCTTCATCTGATCTGCAAATCCCCTGGTCAATGCGCTTGTTTATTGAAGCACCAGGCCAAATAGATCAGACACAGCCTCATGTGCTCGTAACACCGATATATTTGAAATGATCATCTTTGCTTTCTTTGCTATTATCGCTGTGGAGTATATCCATATGAATACTCCGTACGGAGTAGACTGTGTTTCAAATGGGGATTTTCATACCTGTCAGGGGGATCTACTTGATCTACCAGATTTAAAAGCCAAAGTGGATAGAAACTATTGTTTCAAGGAATTTTGAGAGAATACGTAAGATAACATCTAATTGCTTACAAGACAGCTAGAAAATATGAATGAAAATGTTGTATTGAAGGATATGCGGTGCGAGAGATGGCGTCAACAGATGTGATTCGCGATTGATAACATCCAGAGACCGGAGCACGCTTAGTTTAATCACATGAAGTTCCTAGCCATGTATTCATTGTATAGATTAATTATTTTTCGCAAAGAGGCTTCTCAACTCCGTTGCGAGTCGCGATTGTGGGGCCGAGATCTATGTACCGAGCAGATTTGGATATTCTTCAGGAAGATCCTCGCTACAACGTAAACGGGAGCCTTGCCAGATCCAGCTACACCCGGAAGTTTATCACCACAATAAGTTTGGCCGAAGTTCACCCAAGGCCTAGTTCAACGTACAAAATGTATGATACGACACGGAAGGCTTGGAAATCAAACTGGAACCCTACTCTAGCCGAGGGGCCCAGACCCCTATATTGCTTGGAAGTGTGGGTATCGCATCTTCATCGGGTTGTGATGTCGGGCCAATCTACGAATGAAACCATCCAACGTGCACTACTCCGTAACGGAGATGGTATCGGGTACCCGAGGATCGGCATCCTCTGGGTGTGGCGGTTAGGTTGATACGAGACCATTTTCGCCGTGAAACTAGAAGCTTGGCATTGGGCATCAAGATTGAGGTCTATCAAGTTGCTATGGGAAACTGTATCAGCCTTATAGGGTAGACAGCCCTGTACAGCCTTAACCGAGTTGAAGGTTGGGACCGACATAGAAAAACACCCCGAAGATGCTCAATTGCGAAGCGATGTGCGAGTCACTGATCAATCGTAGACGATGACGAGATCTTGGCGGCTCCGCTAGGAATCCTAAGGGTGTTGCGCGTGGCGCATCAGTGGAGTCAGATACAAAGATTAAATGTACGTTCTACTAAGCTATAAAAGAATATTTAGAAAAGCTTGCACAGGGGGGCGTCTTGTGGGTCTGATCGACATAAAGATTGGCACCATTTGTGCATAGTATATAGTACGGATGTATGTAGTACACCTACGTACCTTGCACTCCATAGAAGCCGTTCAATCTGTCGATCATCTCCTTTCTAGCGCAAACTTTGTCCCAGGAGAGAAAGTCTTGGACGCATTCTTTCTCCTATCCATATATGTTTGGTAATGTAGCTGCATGGGCATCACTTATCTGGAATTATATATATCGTCATTGGATGTGATGCTAAACCTTGTATGGAGTACTCAGTCCCCCCTTTGCGGGTCCCGATTGGTGACTCTTGAGCAGCAAGGGCCAGTATCCCCTATACAGATCTATCAAGGGGGAACGCACACGTAAGTCAATGGCACATTCTGTCCAATAATCTCCTCTGTATCAATATTGACCAGGGCAAATGACGAAGCTTGGCATTTGCTTGACGGATAGCTATCACAATGGCTGATATTCACACGTGGAGAAAATGAGACCCTGGAACAGAAATCGGATTTCACCTTCTCTTTCCCTATTACCGAGATATGTATCCGCTTTGGCAAGACATGGATTGGAGACTATTAGTGGATTGGTTAACCAGCTTATCATACATCCCTGATCCTGCAGAATTTCGGGACCTTTAGGACATGAAAGATGCTTCGGAGCCGAACCGAGCGAGTGTATGCAAGTGTTGAACAGACTTTTTCGACATCTTTTCTCCGATTGTAGATCTTGAGGGTGAAACCGGGCTTGCGTGCTGCACATGCTGTGTAGATCGATTCCATCGTACACGCGTGTATGAAGACCGGAAGGAATTCCAAAGTGGCCACTGGCGTGCGCCTTCCCAGTTTAGGCATCACTGTTCACCCATAGTCAAGCAGGCCCTGAATCACTCGTGGGGAGCTCAGGAATGTGCTTTCCCTGGGGTAGACGTCAGCCTTCGAGGCGTAGACCTGATATAATAATAGACACTCAGCCAGCCCGCACCAGAGAAATAAGCTATGCTATAACTTGTGGGAATTCTGTACTAGAGCCTTGAGTATTCCAAGTGCGGATCATGGCCCGTACGTGTCGAATTGAGCGACCTCGGTTTTACCAGATTTGTCTTATCCGTCTCTCTACCATCAAGGGGATAGTCCCTGGTCGAACCCACTGTGGAGCACGTTTAGTTGACTCTCAGATGCATGGGCCTGCCTAATATTTTGTTTGTATTTTTGAATAGGCGCTATAGGGGCTTATTGCTGGAATTGAAATACAAAAGGGTGCCTCCATTCCATTGTTGATCTTTCTAGATATCTAAAGCTGTCTGGGCCGAATGAAGCCATAATTTCTCTTCTATTGTCAATAGGTTGTGTCTGTTGATATATTCAGACTTGTCTTCATATTTTATAAGAATTTTTCACCATGACTTTGTCCCAGTTCAGTTCAACAGAAACCCTCAGGAACCCTGAGGTCACTAACAACTTGGTCAACTCGAGCCCTAATCTCTCGCCTCGGGATGAGAAAGACCTCTCAATACCATCAACACCAGCAGAGTCAATTAGTCTTGAAAGCCAAACCCCGCTATCACCACCATATCATGTGTTCCCTCGATCTCGCAAGTTGTTGATGGTCATTATCGTCTCCCTGGCTGCCATCTTCTCCCCGTTATCTTCAAACATCTACTTCCCTGCGCTTACAGATGTTGCAGAGGTTAGTCGACTCGTGTCATATGTATTGCCATTTCTTGCTAACTTCAATACAGGAACTCAATGTCTCAATGTCTTTAGCTAGCTTAACTATCACGATATACATGATTGTCCAAGGTCTCGCCCCGAGCTTTTGGGGTTCTTTCTCAGATGTGTTGGGCCGTCGTGTGATTTTCATTGGAACATTTGCTGTCTACATTATTTCGAACATTGCTTTGGCCGTTTCTACCAACTATGGTGAACTTATGGCTTTCCGAGCACTGCAGGCTGCCGGAAGTGCGGCCACCATCTCAATTGGTATGATCCATTAACCCTCCTTATTTTGTATCTTAACTAACTTATATAGGTGCCGGTGTCATTGGTGATATTACTACCTCAGCGGAGCGAGGCAGTCTGATTGGAATCTTTGGTGGTGGTAAGTAACCCGCTACCCAAATGTCCTATGTTTCAATCTAACATTATCCAGTCCGCATGTTGGGCCAGGGAATTGGACCAGTATTCGGTGGAATTCTCTCTCAGTACCTTGGGTTCCGGTCTATCTTCTGGTTCTTGGCTATTGCATCCGGAATCAGTCTTTTCTCTATTATGTTCTTCCTCCCCGAAACACTCCGAACTATCGCTGGCAACGGCACCGTTCCCCTCAAAGGCATCCACAAGCCAATCATCTACTACATTTGCGGACAGAAGAACGCACAAGAAGACTCAACCCCATCCGGAAAGAAGACCAAGGTGACCATCAAGACCGTGCTAGCACCCCTCGGCTTCCTAGCCGAAAAGGATGTCTTCATCACCCTGTTATTTGGCAGCATGGTGTACACAGTCTGGTCGATGGTAACCTCCTCTACATCTGCCCTGTTCGAAGAAAAATACGGCCTGAACTCACTGGAAGTCGGCCTGACCTTCCTCGGCAATGGCTTCGGATGCATGACTGGCTCCTACACAATTGGATACCTAATGGACTTCAACCACAAGCGAACGGAGCGCGAATACTGCCAGCGGCACAACCTCCCCATTGATACTCGCATCAACTTAAAGAGCCACCCCGACTTCCCTATCGAGTACGCCCGCATGCGCAACACTTGGTGGATCACTGCTATCTTCATTGTCTGTGTCGCTGTCTACGGAGTGTCCCTCCGTACACATCTTGCCGTCCCAATTATCCTGCAGTTTATCATCGCCTATGGCTCCACCGCTATCTTCACCATTAATAGCGCTCTCGTTATTGACTTGTACCCCGGTGCTAGTGCCAGCGCAACCGCAGTCAACAACTTGATGAGATGTTTGATTGGTGCTGCTGGTGTTGCGGCTGTTCAGCCCATCATTGATGCTCTCACTGCCGAGTTTGCATTTCTCATGCTCGCTGGCATTACGATTGTGATGGTCCCTCTTCTCATGGTTGAGATGAAGTGGGGATATGGATGGCGTCTTGAGCGGCAAGAGCGCATTCAAAACAAGGAAAACTCGATTTGAAAGAAGACGATTGAAAATGGTGAAATTAGAAATATAAGGGGGGAGAGTACATAGTTGGGCACGGAAGCCTATCACGACTTGACGATTTTGGTTTAGCAAAAAGTACCTGTATGTCCCGGATTTTATGCCGTGGCCGCGACTTGCCCGATTGGGGTACCGTCGCTTTATGAGGGCGCTCGGGGTCCTGTTCACTGAGTGTTTCATAGCATATGTCCTATTGCAGATATAAATTGATCTTACTGATCGATGAATCTTTCAAGACAGAGAGACCTTCTATTCCCATGGTTCCATAAACCCCTCTACTATACGAAACTCCTCACGAGGCAAAATTACTACGGAACACGAATTATGACTCTTTTGTACTGTCATGATCTCACCTACCGTTCAATCTATTTAATAGCCATAGTGGCGATCCTAACTATTCGCTTTATCTCCAACATCATGACAAAGTGATCACAAGACCTTCCTAATAGGGCCGTATGACGTCATCAACCCTACTATGGCTCAACTATATAGAGGGCTTTAGGGAGCAAAATTCTCATAATCTGTCGACAGACACCTTTCGTCAAATCATTCGAATATATTTTATCAGAAACAATTATATTCACCATGTCAGAATTCGTCCGCAGAGCATCTGACGCGTTCCACCGTCGCCGAAGCTCAACCGACTCAACGGATGTACCCAAATCCCCTGATGCCCCTAGCGCAGCAAAGCCTCCCGAGCAAGAGCCACTAAATCAGAAGCCCGTGTCTACCCAGCCTGAATCTCACGTGAATGAGGCCTTCGCTGGTGTAGCAAATGGTACAATGTCACTTTCTCGTCTTTTGCGCCTGATATAGTATCATAACAATGGCATACAGAGAATGTTGCGCCTCCGAAGCAACACCGCCTTTGGGGATGGCCACACCACCAGGGAAAGCAACCCGAAACAAAGCAGCAACCCGAAACAAAGCAGCAACCTAGCCAGAAACAAGAACCTAGCCAGAAGCAAGAAGATCTTGACTGGGTTGTTGGCACGTAGAAGAATCACTCCCCGTATTCGATGGAGTGACCGGATGCTCATATTGGGTTTATGAAGAGACCGACACTCTTTTTTTTTTACCTGCAAACCTTTCGCACTGAATTACCTTACTATCATTATTTAGCTGTAGTTTTGATCCGCCTCTTGGAAATTAATTTGTTATACCTGTTACGAGAACTGCATTCTGCCTTGCGATCAATCCAAAGCTAACAATGGATCTTCACGTTATACAAAGATCTAGCGATACACGTAGGATCATAGTGGGTATCTTTGCTCTATTGGGCCTTGACATTCAGCCCTATCTAGACTGGATCCTAAGATTCCAAGAGGAGTCCCCGCGTAGATTTAGTCGATCTAGTAAGAGAGGAAATTGTCGTTTAGGGAAAGGGGGTGGCGGTTAAGAGTGCTAGGTGACGCTCAGTGAGGAAATCTTCCGCTTATATACTAACCGGATCGTGCTAAGTGATAAAAAGAGGCCATCAATAAAAAAAGGGAAAGCCATCATGGCCTAACGTCCGGTGTATGTATGTGCGGTGCTTATATGGTTTCACTTCTCATTTACTGGCAATTATTTGGTTTTTGGATATATCTACGCAAAGATAATCCTTGAATATTATAGGTACCTCTGGATAGCCGTTTAATTTTGGCATATTTACAATGTTCTTTTTGCACAAGGCCATGTCTACATGTGTCGTCTGGGCCGTAACGTCGGTCCAAATTCCACATGGCCGCTTTCGTCGTCCGTAGTCACTTCCAAGGTTGCCAACATCAACTTCCCTCTTGCGCCGTGGACTTTGCTTTCTTCATAACCAACCACATTCCAATTCTAATAAACTCAAGTACCGATCACCTCCACAGAGTAATCCCAGTACTGACCATGGAATCTGCGCGAAGCCTCTACAAAAATGACATCGATTTTGCAGCCTTGGCGCTGCAATCGCGCGATTTCGCCAATCAGTACGTGAAACCGCCTCTGCTCAGACAAACAGACTAGTCCTAATTGAGCCCAGCTTGACACCAAACGGCCAACTGAACTTTACTGATCCAGCCGCTGTCCGGTAAGTCGGAGGACTCTAATATCTGATATCCCGAGAGTGGATCTGATTGGCGTCATACAGACAACTTACCACCACTCTCCTGCAACAAGATTTTCACCTGAAAGTTGAGATCCCCGAGGATCGACTATGTCCACCGGTATGGAGATTCTGAACTTATTTGACAAACATGTATTGACTTGATTTTCAGGTACCGAATAGGTATGTCGTCCCGAATGACGGCTTGGACCTTACACGCATGTGTCTGACATGTACTATAGACTCAACTACATCCTCTGGCTGCAGGACCTCCTCGACTCTAGCGCTGGAGGACTGCATGAGGGGTACGACCGAGATCGGGAGGTCGTCGGCCTCGACATGTACGTATTGAGTCCCACTCGTATCTCTGAATCATCTCTGACAAAGTGAAGCGGAACGGGATGTATCGGTATCTACCCCCTGCTGGGTTGTGCGACACGGCCGCGGTGGAACTTTGTAGCAACAGGTACGTACTGAAATCCAAGTATCTTCAGCATTTACTGATCAACCCGACAGACATCGACTCGAACAATATCCGCACCTCCCAGCATAATGTCGCTCTCAACAATCTCGAATCACGAATTCGGATCTTACATTCCGACCCCGACGGACCGCTCTTCCCGTTAGAGAAGCTAGGTTGTCAAACGTGAGTCTCCGAGTTAAGACTTGCTAGAATTCTACCTAACTATTCACTAGTCTCGACTTCACTATGTGTAACCCGCCCTTTTACGCCTCATCATATGAGCTCAACAAATCTGCCGAGCAGAAAGAACGAGATCCGTTTTCGGTGAGTGTTAATAGCTGTTTACTTCTCATCACATTTCACCTCTTCGCCTTACCGTACTAACCTATATGAAGGCCTGCACTGGCGTCGAAGTCGAAATGGTGACCAACGGCGGAGAAGTAGCTTTCGTTAAGAAAATGATCGACGAGAGTCTGCAACTGCGCGACCGGGTCCAGTGGTACACATCCATGCTCGGCAAACTAAGCAGTATCAACATACTCGTGGAGACCCTGATCAAGCACGAGAACCACAATTTTGCAGTCACCGAGTTTGAGCAGGGAAGCAAGACGAAGCGCTGGGCTGTGGCGTGGTCATGGGGAGACAGAAGGCCTGCCATGGTAAGTCATACTTTACCACATTTTACTCACTTCAAGCTTGTGTTATATGTGCCACGTCTAACTGCTGATCTAGAATGTTGCACGTGGAATCCCCGGCTGCCCGAAAAGTCATTTGCCTTTCCCTTCAGATTACACATTCACGCTACCACCTGACACATCGATTGACACGGCCACTGCTACTATAAATGCAGAACTTAGCTCGTTGCCTTGGTTTTGGTCTTGGGATCAGGCCCGTTCTGCGGGGACGGGATTCGCTGCTGAGAATGTGTGGTCAAGATTCGCTCGCCGGAAGATGAAAATGGCTGGTGAGGAAGCGGCTAAATTGAAGGTGATTCCGGCCCAGGTGGCGCTGGGAGTACGTCTGCAGATACGGCTGGTCCGGGGGCAGAAACCAGATGAGAAAGAGGTCAAGGTTTTAGTCCGCTGGGCGCAGGGGACCGACACCGTCTTATTCGAGAGCTTCTGCGGGATGGTCAAGAGGAAATTAGAATCAAAATGATTCCAATGATCTTATGACTCTAGCTATACACGGGTTTGGATAACCTCGATTTATCAATCAACACAAGGAGATTTGGATAACGTTGAACTTGGTATATGACTTTTGTAAACATTTGCACAGCGAGCTAATCTCTATGATTCATAAACAGCATCAAGGGTTGTATGTACTAATTGCCGGTAACCTCAGCCTGCAACTGCTTCAAGCGGTCCCAGCCTTCCGTGCCATCCCAGAAGTCCTTGCCCTTGCCCATGATTCCTCTCACGGCACTACGAGCCTTGAACCGCCAGTCCTTCGCAACAAGCTGAGCCTCTTGGTCGCCCTCAACCTTCTGATCTTCACGGTCCATAGGACCAAACTTAGCATAACCATCTCTCACAAGCTTCTCTGTAGCCCGAACAACCTCAAGCCAGGGCTTCTCATCGCCCATCTGGAAAGCACCCTGAGCATTGGCAGCAATAGTAGCACGCCACGCCTTCTCATGACACTCGAACGCCTTAGAAGGCCGATGACGGAAGACTTCAACGCGGGCAACAATCTGCCACAGTATCGAAGAGTGCGTGATAAGTGGGACGACATTCTGATCAACCAGCGAGATGATCTGGCCGGGAATAGTACCGGTACGAACAATCGGGGCTTCAGATGGATCATCAGAGCGGATAAGCAACTCCTCGTACTCGAATGCCACGTTCAGGAAGTCAACGAGCATGCCCAGGATCGCCACGTCAATGCACTTCTCGCCCTTCTTCGTGCCAGAGAGCTCGATAATGCGCTTCTGCGCGGTGATCACATCGCGGAATGGTGTTGCCGGCGGCGGGATTGATGCTGCGACAGTCAGGACGTTGTCCCAAATGCGGGCATCAGTGCCCTTGAGTTGGGCTGCGCGCTGGAGCGCTGATAGGGCCTCGCGCTTGCGCCTGTGGGGGTCAACTTCGGCGACCGAGACCTCGCCGGTGGACTCGTCGATCACCTCGGGGGCAGGCTCTGTGTCGGGCATGCGCAGCATCGCAGCGGCAAGGTTACTCCAGGCCTGACCGTCTGTGTCGTCGAGTTGAACAGTGCGGGTGAAGGTATCGGTTGCTTCTTGCCATTTCTCGAGCTCGAGCTGCACGCAACCGAGAGCGAACCATGCGCCCTGGTTCAGCCGGTTGATGTGCAAACTCTTCTTATAGGCTATCTCGGCATTTTCCAATTGCGGTGGTGTGGAGGTGAGATAATGGCGAGCCAGGGACCGCTGGGCGCGGGCGTATCGTTCCCCGGAGACTTCCCATGCGCGCTCGTACATCTTTTCGTCCTTGTCGATGTCTCCCATGATACAGAGCAGGCGTGGTGCATCAACGGGTAATGGTGAGCGCTCTGGTCCGTTGAATTCCTCATTTTCGTCATTTTCATCTGGGCCGGTGGCCTGGTAAAGCTGGCGGCGGATGAGGTTCTTCGCCTTACCTTCACGCTCGGTGGCGGCATAGCAAAGCGCGGCCTCAGCCCACATGTGTAGTCTCTCGTAGATCTCGAGTGCGGTGCGCAGACCACCGAGATCAACCCAGCGCTTGGCAAGCTCGGCCTCGAGGCTCCAGCGTGTTGAGAAGTTTAAGATCCAGATGTGCTCGAGTCGGTCAGCGGCGGGGGCAGACTCAGACTGCTCAGGGCGTGGCAGGAAAGTCGTCGGATCGCCTGATTCGTTCTGAGCTGCGTCATCGCTAGTTGCGGTATCCGCAATGACCTGATCCACCAAAGCCTGCATCTGCAGCACGGCTCTCTCAACAGTACGGGAGCGGTAACCCTCTACCCGACTGCGGACCAGAAGTGCTTGGGTATAGATCTGCCAGTTGGAGCTGCCGCCATCGAGAACTCGAGTGGCATAGGGGTTTGTTTCCTCTCGGGTGAGGCCGTTCTCAGGCGAGGTGTTAGTAATGGCAGATGCGAGTGCGAGTAGGAGAGCAGAGTCAACGGGGTTGAGAATTGGCTGGTTGTTGGCATCAATGGCATCCAAAGTTGCGGAAACCTTATCTTGGATTGCCAGGGATTGTTCGTCGGGCTTTTGGTCAGAGAAAGAGATAGCCTCGAGAAGGGTGTCGTCGTCCAAGTTCAGGTTCTTAGGCCCAGAAGGCTCCGAAGATTGTGACGTCTCATCAGCACTCTTAGCCAACACGACCAGCTGACTGATATCACGGTCTTGGAATTTTGTGCGCTTGCCCATCTTTCCGGTCAACGCAAACTCGAACCTCCGTACCTTGGCCGCCTGATCAATATCTTCCCGTGCCTTGACATCGAATCCATGGTGTGTGTGGATAGTGGCCCTTTCCAGCAGGAACCGACTCCTCTCGTCTGAGTTCAACTCAGCCTTGGCCAGGATCTCAACATCCTTGTAGATCACATCCTGGAGAGTACTCGTGACCTCCGAAAGCATCTTTTGGTGAAGGAAGTTGGTACGCATACGCGCAGTCTTTGCGACAAGCGGTCCATCGCTGCTAGCATCGGCCAGCAGAGCCTTGGCGACAGCAAACAATTCCGGGTTGGGTGTGAGCTTGTAGGCATATTCTCCATCCAGGGTTAGGTCACGGATGATCTTTGCCCGCACGGCTTTGAGGGTTGTGGGTTCGGTTCGCAGAGCAGAGGGCAGTACAACTTCGGGCGAGCTGAATTCGAGGGGAGGACCGGTGACGTTAGACTGTAGGAAGCCGAACAAGGCTGCTAGTCCAAGGTGTAGGAGTTGCGATTGTTTTTGTTCCGTGGTCAAGTCATCGGTAGACTGGAGAGCGGCGCGGGCCTGGTCGGCGACAAAGGTTGTATATGAGATCTCGCCGCTTGCAACCTGTGCAAGAGACTCTTCTGAGGCATCGTGGCCCAGCACCTTGTGAGTGAGGGGCAGGTTGAAGATCGGGACGATGTTGTCTGACGTCAATCGGATGGGATCGATGCGGTCTTTGAGAGGAGATGCGGCATCGAAGATGCTGTCCAGATTGGACGGGTACACAGGAGATTCAGCCATCTTGAATCCCTCCAGTAACCTTTAATGATCTTGAAGTCGAGAATGTGCCCCGCGATCTTTTTCGATTTTTCTGCTTATCGATAGTGTGTGGATAACAAGAGTGCGTGGTATTTGGGAGAAACCGCAATATTTCCAGGAACGGAAATTATTTCCACACTCTGCTTATAGAGCATCACTTCTATTATTAATCTAACTTCTCTCAACGCTCTAGGGTACCGGAATCTGTCATCAATTGCAATTTATTATAGTATGCTATATCAAGCCGACTCTTGCTTAGGCTCAATGAGACGAATGTGCGTGGTCCTTGAGTATACGATTCAAACCCTCTCGCTGCACACAACCTTCAAAGTGGAAACTCCTAGCCAACTCTTCCAGATCCTTCTCGCTACTTCCTCTAAACAATTCAGCAAACTCATCCACAAACGAAGCCGCCAAGAAAGTGTAAAACACATTTCGCATGACATGCAACTCCGTATTCCACGAAGTGGGATAAGTATCCTTCGCAGTAGGACTAACACGGTCAATCCACTCAAGCAATGGCTTCAAAGCCGCCTCGGGCTCAGCCTTAGGCCGACGGCCCCATTTATCCAGCCAGAAGTCCCTCTTCTTGTCCAGGAAAGGCTTGAGCGTCTTGTTCCACTCGCTCTCGGGATTTGTATAGATCATACCCTGTAGACCAATGTCCTTGTAGAGCCAGATCGACCAGCTGATGTTATACTTGTCGTAGATGCGCAGCTGATCACCGAGGAGGTTGTATCGCTCCTGGTTAACAGTCTCGGCATCGACGTCGAATACCTGGTCCGCATAGACGGGCCCGAACTCCCCGTTCCACACGGGGGTCTTGTTCTCGCTCATGAACTGCGCTTTGCGCAGGTACACGCTTTCAAGGCGTTCTTTTTGCTCGGCTGTGCCCTTGTAGCGATCGCCGGTGGGGAAGCCCATTGACTACACATTAGATCGGGTTAGAACGTTACACTGTTGTCACGGGCTCGGAAAGGAATGGGGAGCCCACCGAGTAATCATGCATGGCATACACGCAGTTCGGCAACACCTCGTCGAATCCCTTCCATTCCATCGCAAACGTATTCCCATCTAGCCACAGGATATGATCCGGGTCAATATTGCGAATCGCCTTCTCAACACGGGCATAGAATGCGGGTAGCCGCACATGCTCAGGATCGCATGGTTCGTTGAGCGGGTTGTACCCAGCAACCCAAGGATTGTCCTTGTATCTGGTGGCGATCTGCTCCCAGAGCCAAATAGTCCGGTCTTGGTGGTCCTTGTAATCCCAGAAAGCGGCATAGCCAGTGGGATTGTCGGAGTGCCAGTCTGGGTTCTGGCCACCGGGGACGGCGTGCATGTCCAGGATAGTATAGATACCATGTGCCGCGCACTATAGGGTCATTGTGATTAGTATATTTCCTAACACCAAGGACTGCATGTAAAGATATGCAAAATACTGACCAGGTCGACGACTCGGTCCAAGTGTTTGAACCCTGATTCCTTCAGCACGCGGGGATTCATATCGTCCTCGAAGTGGCGGTAGTTGAAAGGCAGACGCAGACAGTTCAGTCCTAGCTCGGCGAAGAATTTGGCATCTGCGTCGGTGAAGAAGTACTCGAGCCATTTATCAAAGAAGAATTCATATTTCTCTTGTCCTAGGACTCGACGCATGGCGGCGCGGTGTTGGGCTTCGTGGCCTGCGAAGCCTGTGATGAAATTCTCCATACTTCAAGACGATATGTCAGTTCAACAACAGGGAAATATATGGCGAATTGATAGTCTTCATACTTCATCCATCCTCCAAGAGCAGCTCCTCGCATGACAACCCTCTCTCCATTCCCATCGACGATAGTATCGCCCTTTACGCGTAGGAAGCCGGTAGCCATATTGTTGATTCAATGATGTAAAGACAATTGTCAAAAGCTACAATAATGCCTACAAAGACAAGTTAGGAGGTGCTACGCATGACTATAAGTACTTATACTTATCCGTAGCAGGCTATTTATCCCAAAGTCCAGCAAGCAAAACGCGGGGGATGGGGTAAATGTCTAGCTTGGCAACTAACAGGGGGCTTCAAGCCACCAAGCCCAGTAGTTCAACCGGCTAATCTCACAACATTTAGCCTACTCATGCAGCCAAGACTGAAGTGTACAATTGCATTTCTCATAAATAACAAGACATGTGCCAACGGGCATGGATGCATGCCACCAGGGTATTTGGATACAAGTGAAGCAACGCCGTCCAAACAAGCCGCCCAAACGCTCAGAGAATAATGCAGCACAACCAAGACTAAACTACCAGTCCTGCCCGCGATCCCGCATCAGGATCTCAATGGCTTCGTCCTCGGGGACGGGATTGTCATTCAATTCCTTGACGCACTGCGTGAGCCCCTCCGCGGCTTCATCTACTTGCTCCGCTGTCCAACCCGTGCATGCCATCACCATGCGACGGTAGTTCTGGCCAAGAACCGCGTTCTTTGCTTTCAAGCCATCGACTTCAGCTAATATCCCTCCGTTGAATTCTTTGTAGCATTGTGCCTGGCGCCTAAGCAGATCCGTTGCTGGCAGTGAAGCCAGGAAGGCGGCTTGCTGTTCTGAGAACCCGGACGCTGGGTCGAAGCCCTCGGGGAATAGGGCGTCAAATGTCGCGACATCAACGCCCGAACCTCTGTCGGCATCACCCACAACAACCGTCTTGCTCGCGTCCAGTCCTGGTGTGTTCTTCACTGTTACCAACAGACCCTCAGATGACCGCTCCAGATTCTTGATCCGCCGGTCTAGCTCCACGCGCTCAGAACCCTTGCGTCTGAGCTCATCATATTGCTTCTGTTCGATCTGCCGAGCTTTAGCAGACTCGCGAATCTTCGTATGCCAGTGATCGAAACTCTCTTGTTTTTGTGTCAAGCTCGAAGCCAACTCTCGGTCAATTCCCCCGAGTGTTTCCTCGACCATTGCGCTGATTTGGGACATTGCCGCTAGATTCAATGTTAGTAAAAACCAAGATTAATGGCGGGAACACATTTACCATCGAGAATCTCTTTCTTCGACTTCGCCAATTGATCAATGAATGTGTCATTCCGACTGGCCGGTTGCTGAGATTGAGAGTTTCCGTCGACCATGTCGACACCCACACCGTAGTCAGCAGGCCGGAGGCCAGTGTGGTTTGGAATGTGAGGATCGGCACCCACTTCCAGGAGTTGCGGGACAAGGACTGAGCGGGCACGTCCAGCCAGATTAAGGGCCGTATCACCCTGATCATCGCGGAGGTTGACAATCTCGGAGATGAACCGTCCCAAAGAGATAACTTCACCACCAGGGTTCCCGTTTGGCGCATGGTCTCCATTCGAACTTGCAACGATGCCTCCATGTCGTACAATAAACTCAAGAAGGGCTTCCAAATAATGCTTTGCGGATACGTGTCCGCCGCCACCAGTTGCAGCCATCATGGCGATGTGGTGCAGGATGGTACGTCCGCTGTAATCCACCATGTCAATGGTAGGGGCTAGCACCTGCAGCAAACGCGGGAAGCTTCGATAATCGAGGTTGTTTCGAGTGCCCACGGACTTTTGCAGTGCCGTTTCTCCGGCACCGTTGACTCGCGATATACTGACACCCTTGGCGACTAGCGCATTGAGCAGTGACATGCGGGCAAGCATCGCAGCCCAGTGAAGGGCATTGTTTCGGTATTCGTCAAGGGGAATTTCAAGATCGTCCCCGGTCAACTGCAACAAGGCTGGGTGATTCGTGAAGTCTTTTGTTCGTTTATCGAGGAACAATGTCATAATGAGCTTCATCTTCTGGAATCTCTGTGGGGTAGAAGCAGGCGCCAGGGACTCGACGCCGCGTTTCGAACCATCATCCATGGGAGGGGGAGGAAGATCCATATCTTGATAAAAGGAGTCGTTAGGTTCTGTGGGTGTAGGTTCGTGCATGGATAGATTGGATGGTTCTCGAGTGAGGCCGATAGGTGGGCCCTGGTGCGAAGTAGAGCGCATACGTTTGCGTGGAGGTTCCGCAAGATCGTCGGTGTCATCTTGCACCTGGTACCGATTTTGTAGGCTGCTAAATCCGCTGTCGGACATGCTGTACATGCTCTGCTGGCTGCTGAACGCAAGGCCGGATTCCTGGCTGTTCATCTGTTGTGAGGGCTTGCGAGCCATGCTGGGTCGACGACTGTTAGAGCTGGGGGAGTCGAAGCGCGCTTTGCTGAGCGCATTAACAGCGGTGGCGGCGGTTCGTGAGATATTTTGGAAGAAAGTTCCCTGCTGCGGCTGTGATGCGCTGCGACTCTCTCCACCGTTGTAAAGTCGCTTGCGCTGCGCGGCCATTGCTTGTTCTTTGGTGGGTGTATCTATCGTCGATCCGTGGGCAGGAGCTCCGGAGCCGTCAGGGCTCATATCGTACTCCAGCAGTGGCCGGAGTGATTCTTCAACGTGGTACTCTCGACACAAGTCGACGCCTCGTTGGTAGTTAACCCACGTCCCCTGGTATTTTCCGTAACCGCCTTGGACCTTCTCGTGTTCACCAGCCGCAATTTCTTTCTCGAGGGTTTTCGTTCGTCTCGCTTTCACAACACCGGCGACTTTCAAAATTTGCGTAGCGTTCAACCAAGAATCGGATCGACGTTTCATCACAGCGACACCATTCACTTCCATCTCATAGACAGCGACATTAGAATAGACAGCCTATTTGAATCTCGTCAGTGGCATTCTCTATGGTGTGGATAAAGACCACGAACTCGGTAAATCTGTGGTTTGTACTCCTCCTGGTATGACATTACCGACCCATAGTCGTTGGCTCCATCGTATCCACTAAAGCTTCGTGGCAGTCCATTGGGATAACCGAAAGAGGACATCTGAGATCCTTTCGGGGGTGGAGGAGTTGCGCGAGGGGTGGAGTTAAGGGATTGCGAAGCATTCAACATGTTGTAGGCCATTCCATTCGATCCTGCACTGCCCTGTGAGTATGACATGCTGGGCTTTCCAGGAAATGTCAGCCAACAAATCGGGCAATGATGGGGTAGAATCAGTAGCAAGGAGAGAGATACCGGATGCCGATTGGAATGACGCGAGCTCAAGGAGGCGCGTGGCTAACCCTCTGGAGGGAAACCGCAGGCCAAACAAAATACCATTCAAGGCCACAAAGCGACCGAACGAGGTATCGAATGGAAATTGAGATATTAATATCCGAGGCTCAATGCAAGGCAAAGCAATGTTCGCGGGGTTTGGGGGGAAGACGGCGAAAATGGCGCGTCGAAGTTCCCGTGACACGCATTTTGCCAAGGATTTCGCGTTTCTCCGTTTTGGGGTTTCTTTTTTTTGGGCACTTCTTGATTGCAATTAAAGTGAAATATTCCGAATGGCCAGACCACAGCCTCAGCATTGGCTACACAACCTCTCAAAACCACAGCAATGGCGCCATTTATTTCGCGCTACGCTGCGCGAATGTACCTACCTACCTGACCCCATCGCCCGCAACTACATGAAAGACCATATCATCTCCCGATATCGTATTGCTTCCTCCCGTTCCCCGAAGGCTGGTCCTCAGGCGGTTCATGCGGCAAGAAACGCGTTGTCAGTTCTACGACGAGCAAATGAAGGCTATTCACGGCCTCTCGAGAAGGTGTTATTATTGTCATACGGTCGCACTGGGAGACGGCGACATGAGCTGCTATCAAAAATGTTAACGCCGGAAATTCCCAATGATTCTTTGGCTCTCAAAGAGCTACTCTCCCGGCCTGCTGATTTCAGTGATGACTGGGAGCCCCCAGCTATTGTGAAGAGCCTCGCAGCCTCTCAAATGCAGAACACAGTGGTTGCAGCAGTCCGCATCAGGCCGTTGATCAAACAATTGGAACCCCCGGTCCCCAAGGAGGATAGCTGGGGCAGAGAATTGGGCCAGTCTCGGAAGAGAAATATTCGGAGGAAATGGTACAACGCCACATTGAGCAGTCTCCTCCCGCCATTACCAGAGAAGGATCTCCAGGTGCTTCAGGGACTCATATCGGGGACCATACCATGGGAACTTGTCAAAAGGAGAGGCTTAAACCCCCAGATTCCCCAGACCAGGTCTGAAACCGAGCCTGGTAGTGAGCTCTTCAGGTTGCTAGCTAGGGGCCCTGAGAAGGGTACCACCTTTGCTGAATATGCCAATGGTCGGCCACATACAATTACAATCAGACTCATGCGTCGTCAATGGAGACGTTTGTCTGCTCTTGTACCACGACAGTACTGGAATCCGATATCACAAAAATGGCGCTTTATGTGGGAATCACCAAAAGAAGTCCCGCAGCTGTGCTTCGATCTAGACAGTCGCATCGACTCGGAGGCGTTTTTCAAAAAGTCAATCCAGGCAAAGAAAGACGAGGCTGAGACGCATCAACCCACTCAATAACAAAATATTAACCAATGTAATACTACACGATTTGAAATGCCCATCATGGCCCTAGTCATTCCCATGTGCAAGTGCACTGTGAAGAAACGAAGACTTTCTATCGGGTATAAATGCAGGTAATAGGCACTCCAAGACATGTCACCACTTGAGGCATAATCGCATGATTCAATAATTCAACTTTGTTGATGAGCTGTCATCTCATTAAGAATACAAGTGCATATGATAGACGTAACGCATAAAGGTCCTTGAATCACCCAGGAGGAAATCCCAGGCAGGCCGGGTGCTACCGGACGGGAAAAAGCAGTAGAGAAAAAGACAGGGTATACAAAATGTGAAGGATAAAACCATTCCCGGTAACCAATCACACCAGAAAAAGGCGAGACCAATTAATCGCTATCAGAGGACGAGCTGGAGGAACTGGAGCTCGAGCTCTTCCGCTTGTGCTTCTTGTCCTTCTTATGCTTCTTCTCTTTCTTGTGTTTCTTGCCTTCCTTCCCACTATACCACAACAGTCAGTCTCGTCTCAACCCAAAAGGCCAAAAAAAGATAGCTCAAAAAGCAAGACTCACAGCTTATTAGTTGCCATGTTCATACCAACAGCACCCAAAACAGCACCGCCCGCAGTACCGAGAATGCCGTGGCCAAGCTTATTGCCCATGAACCCACCAGCCGCGCCACCAAGCAGGGTCGACCCGAGGCCCCTGTCGCCCTCCGGTCCTACAGCACCAGGCTGTCCTGGCTGTTGCTGGTGTGGGGGTGCACCGCCATAGTACGCAGAGCTCTCGCCGCCACTTTGCGGGTACTGCTGTTGCTGGGGAGGGTAGGGCGAGTGACCGCGATCATGGGGAGGCTGTTCGTATCCAGGACTGCCATGGGGAGGGTACTGGCCCTGCTGGTGTTGTGGGGGGTAGCCCTGACCGCCTTGTTGATCATAAGGTCCTGGGTGCTGGCCATATTGGGGCTGACCGTAAGCTTGCTGACCCTATAGCGCGGAAAGTTAGTTATGCATGGCCGCAGTACGAGTACGAGAGAGTTGAGAGTTTGAGCGCTGTGTGACTCGGTTTTGTGCAACGGTATGTCATGTGATTGGTGTGTAGACTCACCTCTTGTGGGTAATAGCCTTGCTGTGGTTGAGAATGGCCCTGAGGAGGGTATCCTTGGCCTTGTTGGTCATAGTAACCGGCACCACCGCCGTATTGGTTTTGCGGGGGTCCTCCGTACGACATATTGATTTCGGGAGAGATGAGAGTTGGGTAAGTGTTAGGATGGTATGTAGGAAATACTTAGGAGCTGGGCAGGAAGGTGAGATCTGGGAATGACCTGACAATAAATACACGGCATCAGCGGGGCAAGCGGGCTGAGCGGGAGATTGAGCACCGCCTCACAGAGGCGTTTCAAATTAACACAGCCTCCTTGTCATCTTAGAATGTGGCTTAACATTTCTTCAGCTGAGCTAGGTAGCCAATGAGTATGTGTCTATCTCTTTGATTGTGGTCCTTTACGACATTTGACATTCGGCATCTATCTATGCTAACGGCAGTTAACGCCAAGACACTCGACCCGCAGGCTGCAGGGAACCGAGGAGCATTCCTGATTTGGTAGATATTTATAGACTAAAGAGACTTGAGTGGCGATAATGAGGTAGTATATCCAGTTCCTTGCACAACTTGAACAGTTTTCATGCTAATCAAAAAGTTCACTGCCTGGATGTGTCAACTGCCTGGTGTTCGGTGGTATTATCCACTTGATATTGAAACAATAACTAGTCAACGTGTTCGTCTACCAGCATGGAGAGGGACCGACTATTCACACCTGTCAAGTATAATCCAGTGGATGGTGCTTGATGAGTCCGAAGTGATTTCGGCCACTGGAACGCTTTCAATAGAACAGCACTATAACCTTCACTATGGGGGTTTGAACGTCCTGTTTAGGGACATGAGCACTTCCACTGGTGCTATCCCACTCCAAAATGTGCATCGTGGTCTTCAATCTTCAATCTCAACTGGATTTCCAAGAACTCCATGAACTTTTTGAGCCTAACTATGAGTATGGGGTGTAGTAAAAGATGAATAATGGTTCAAAAGAATAGCCCTGGCTGTAGTGTCCAACTTGGAGGTTTCATACTTAAACAGTTAATACTATGTATCCTCATGATTTGTTTCATAATAAATCTATCAATATATATAAGGGTGCTCTGGTACATACTACTTCGAGATAAGCCTTTCAAACACAGCCTGCTTACCAGTGACATTGGAGACGAACATCGTTGACAGTCAGTGTGGTAATCCTCTGCCCTAGGAATGCCCTAAGAATGCACTTTCCGTGCAATCTATCCATGTTCGTTAAAGCAGCTTTTACGAAGCGGTTTGTCCGCCGAAACAAGATTATACCAGTACTTTAGGCTAGTCTATCTCGCTACCTCAAAGAGCCTCTCACTATTGGGATAATTCGAAGAAAGAAGTGAGCAATATTATCTTCTTTGGAATACTCGTCTCGCTTCATGATAAAATGGAAATTGACCCGCCAAGCGGCATATTAACTTACCCATTCGGCCATGTACTCCCGAGAAGTGGAGATTCCTATGGTGTTGTCGCAATATAATACCCGAGGGGAAAAAAAGGATGGACACCAATAGCAAAGTGAACACAGCGAAGGATTCAGCCCAATTCAGCCCAATTTAGCCAAGCATCCGAGTCCGTGCGTGGCGATAAAAGCTTTCTTGCCAATACCGTGGCATTTATTGGCACTGCAGCCAAGAACCAGCTTTCAAGGTCTCATAGCTCGTAAGTTAGGTTAGAGTTGCCAAGCGAAGGAAGGGATATGTGAAAACGGAGTGCAACCTTGGAAGGCAACCCTATCCTCTGAGGCCCCGGGGGAGCCGAACATGGTCACACTGTCCCGCTCTAATGCTTGGCAGACTACCCAAAAAAGTCTTACTTCAAAGAAGCCCTGCCAAGCAACGGGATCATTCAAAGGTTAATACCATCTGAGTCCTCGGAGTTGCCTATATCAGAGGTTAATCTATATGGATGAAGTAGATGTTTCTGCTAAAATTGTGTGAAAAGTTCAAAGTTCAAAGCCCAGCGGCTGTACCTTGAGCACACAAAACGATCAGCAGAAAGATACGGAAGGTGACCGAGGGGCTTACGGCTGACCCGGAAATTCAAAGAGACGGCTATTGTGGGGGGATTTTGACATTTTGTCTCCATTTTAATCTCCCCAGAGTAGAAAATCCGGAGTATGTCTTTTGAGTACTTTTCCGTATGCAGTCATCCGCTGTATCCGAAGTTACTTGAGAGTGCAAATTCTTTTTTAGAAAAAGCAAAAGTCCAATCTAGATTAAATGGGAAAACAAAGAATTCCAAAGAAATCAACAAAGGTGCCCTGCATTAACCGCATAGAAATACTGTGCTCCAAAGTGGAAACTTTCCGACTTTCCCCACGGGGACTCACGTTTTCTGGGGCTATACCCCATAAATGTATGATCGGCAACTGAGCTTGGATCTCTTTTCCCCCGATTCCAGATTACTAGCCCTCATGGCAAGCGAATAGGACTACGTCTCATCCCTGTATTCGGGA